ATGGGGTATAACCTGCCATACTACAGGTCTATTCATGTGGGGTACAACCTGCCACATTACCGATCTATTCATGTGAGGTATAACCTGCCACACTACCGATCTATTCATGTGGGGTATAACCTGCCATATTACCGATCTATTCATGTGGGGTATAACCTGCCACACACCACATATCTATTCATGTGAGGTATAACCTGCCACACTACCGATCTATTCATGTGGGGTATAACCTGCCATATTACCGATCTATTCATATGGGGTATAACCTGCCATACTACAGGTCTATTCATGTGGGGTACAACCTGCCACATTACCGATCTATTCATGTGAGGTATAACCTGCCACACTACCGATCTATTCATGTGGGGTATAACCTGCCATATTACCGATCTATTCATGTGGGGTATAACCTGCCATACTACCGATCTATTCATGTGGGGTATAACCTGCCATACTACCGATCTATTCATGTGGGGTAAAACCTGCCATACTACCGATCTATTCATGTGGGGTATAACCTGCCATATTACCGATCCATTCATATGGGGTATAACCTGCCATACTACCGATCTATTCATGTGGGGTATAACCTGCCATATTACCGATCTATTCATGTGGGGTATAATCTGCAATACTACTGATCTATTCATGTGGGGTATAACCTGCAATACCACCGATCTATTCATGTGGGGTATAACCTGCCATATTACTGATATATTCATATGGAGAAAGTGGCCAGATTGAAGGTGAGGTGAGGTGAAATGGGGTTTAACGTCGCGTCCAAGATTATTGTACTTATATAGCGACGTGCATGTAAGTATGTGTGTAGTTGCTTGTACTAGTCCGGACTGATGCCGATTTAGTGCAAGCTCACTGAGATACCATGCCGCAGTTTACCATGAATACCCCACTCAGACACAGTATACTGACTCCGAGCCAACCAGTCCTTGTTTAAACCTTTTAATGCCCAGCGCGAGGCAGGGTAACAAAAAGAACCATCTTTTAACGTCTTTTGGTATGACGCGGCCGGGAATCGAACCTCGGACCTTCCGCTCTCCGGGCGGGCCAGATTGAAATGGCATTTATGATGACATTTAGTACATTTGTTCATTTTAAGGAAAATAGTGTGTGAATGAGTGAGTTAAAATTTAACGTCACATCGGCATTATTTCAGCCATATCGTGACGAGAAAATGTACTATATTCAAATTAGATATATTTAGATAGTATAAAAAGAAAAACATGTCGTCGAAGGACAGTAAAACAACTAGATTTATCACAGATTTTATTTAAAACTAGTAGCTAACCATAAAATATGAAACCATACGTATTGAGGAAAATATAATGATTGAATGTGCGGGTAGGATGAAATATCGATTTCATTATTTTTGTGGGAATTAAATTCTGACATGAGCACATATAATGACATGTTTCATTTTGGGATAAGTGTTATTATCCTTGTGACGATATCGCTTTCTTACACGTTATATTTCTTTACATTTCAGCTCTACAAAAACTGTGTCAGCTTTCATGGGTGACAACACAGCTATTAAAACACCTATTTTACAATCACAACACGTTTCCTTTTTATTTAGTTAATGTATCCATCACCATATAGCAACGTGCATACTAGCAACGGTGTCTGCGTCTGTGCGTCTGTGAAAACATACGTGTGCGCGATGACATAGACACGTACATAAAAAGAAGCAGGGGTGACACGTACACGTACAGAGCAACATACACAAGTGCATGTAGAGAATTGTGGGTCACATCGACACGTGCATGTAGAGAATTGTGGGCTACATCAACACGTGCATAAAGAAAGATGTGGCCACATACACACGTGAATGTAGAGAATTGTTGGTAACATCGACACGTGCATGTAGAGAATTGTGGGTCACATCGACACGTGCATGTAGAGAATTGTGGGCTACATCAACACGTGCATAAAGAAAGATGTGGCCACATACACACGTGAATGTAGAGAATTGTTGGTAACATCGACACGTGCATGTAGAGAATTGTGGGTTACATCGACACGTGCATGTAGAGAATTGCGGGCCACATCAACACGTGCATGAAGAAGAATGTGAGCCACACACACGCGTTAATGTATAGAATTGTAGGCCACAAACACTTGTGCATGTATAGAATGGTTGGTCACATCGACATGTGCATGTTGGGAATAGTGGGTCACATCGACACGTGCATGAAGGAAAATCTGGGGTGATACGTGCACGTGCAGGTCCAGTTTATTTGTCACATGTCATGTCACATGTGCATGAAGAGAAATATGAGCAACACACACGTGTATGTAGAGAATTTTGGGTCACATCGGCACGTGCATGTGGAGAATTGTGGGTCACATCTGCAATTGTATGTAGAGAATTGTGGGTCACATCGACACGTGCATGAAGAAAAATGTGGGCCACATACACGCGTTAATGTATAGAATTGTGGGCCACAAACACTTGTGCATGTATAGAATGGTTGGTCACATCGACACGTGCATGTTGGGAATAGTGGGTCACATCGACACGTGCATGTTGAGGATTGTGGGTCACATCTGCAATTTCTTGTAGAGAATTGTGGGTCACATCGACACGTACATGAAGAAAATTATGGGCCACATACACACGTGCATGTAGAGAATTTTGGGTCACATCGACACGTACATGTAGAGAATTGTGGATCACATCAGCAATTGCATGTAGAGAATTGTTGGTCACATCGACACGTGCATGTAGTAAATTGTGTGTCACATACATACGTGCATGTAGAGAATTGTGGGTCACATCGATACGTGCATGAAGAAAAATGTGGGCCACATACACGCGTTAATGTATAGAATTGTGAATCACATCGATACGTGCATGAAGAAAAATGTGGGCCACATACACGCGTTAATGTATAGAATTGTGGGTCATATCGATACGTGCATGAAGAAAAATGTGGGCCACATACACGAGTTAATGTATAGAATTGTGGGTCACATCGATACGTGCATGAAGAAAAATGTGGGCCACATACACGCGTGCATGTAGAGAATATAAATACATCAGATTACACCGGGAAACTGAAACATCCCTTTGGGTATTATTCTATTGACAGAGTCTGAGTTTCACTTGGGTATGCTTTGTCCTCTCTAGGAAAGTTTAGGAAATATAGTTCCATAAACTCGTCTAGCAACCCTGATAAAACCAACCATTTAGCCAAGTATTTAGCCAAGAAAGAAACACATGTCAACTTCTTTTACATATTGTCTGGAGCATTATGTTATAATGGGCCCATGCCGCCTTTACCGAAACAAATACTAAGCCTTAATTGTAGCTTATGCCTAGATACTTCTTGTGCATATCGAGGCTTCGCACCCTGCTCCAAAACCATGTTTCTTACCCGACCACATAGACGTTTCAGCAGCATTTTGCTTCTATCTTATCTTGTAGTCCATGACCTGACCTTGTGACCTGAATATCAAATCAGCTATGAACTATGGTACTCCATGCAACACTCCTTTACCAAGCCAAGAGATAATAGACTCCGTGAAACATCCGCTTGAACATTGTTTTTGTCTCTTTCAAAAGGTAATGTGTGCACGTAGAGGTCCAAACGTCTGTTTCAGGTTAGCTCGAGGCTTGACCACCTACACCATTTGCAATGTGAATTTAAGTTCTTCTCGTTCTTGTACATACCCAGATTTCGTCTCCTCCTCTAACGCCACGTTAACTATTAACACGTGCTAGATCTTGTATACAGGGTTACATATCAATATTGTTGATGAGGCGTCAAGCAATATTTACCCATTCACTTTAACACCACGTGTACTGTCAACACTTGCTAGTTCTTGTATATACCCAGACCCCGTCACCTCCTCAAGCACCACGTGTACTGTCAACACTTGCTAGTTCTTGTATATACCCAGACCCCGTCACCTCCTCAAGCACCACGTGTACTGTCAACACTTGCTAGTTCTTGTATATACCCAGCCCTCGTCACCTCCTCAAGCACCACGTGTACTGTCAACACTTGCTAGTTCTTGTATATACCCAGACCCCGTCACCTCCTCTAACATCACGTGAACTGTTATTGCATTTATATAGCGACGTACGTACGTGTGTGTGTGTGTGTGTGTGTGTGTGTGTGTGTGTGTGTGTGTGTGTGTGTGTGTGTGTGTGTGTGTGTGTGTGTGTGTGTGTCTGTGTCTGTCTGTGTGTGTGTGTCTGTGTGTGTGTCTGTCTGTCTGTCTGTCTGCTTGTACTAGTTCAGACTAATACCGGTTTTATAGTGCAACCAATTTTACCGTGTGCGCACGTCACATGTGCAATCTTCAAACCTTGAAGCAAAGTGCACGATACCGTTACATGTGATGAACGTGCACGTGTCTCATGCTACTGATCAGAATACTGCTAGCTGCGCTGATTCAGTCAATTATACCAACACGTGCTCCTTTTGTGTCACTCCATGAACATAATCACGGCAGGCATTAGACCACAACACTCACATTCACTGGGGTCAAAATTCATTGGGATAAAAAACGGATTAGAATAGGTCTTCAGCAGCCCATGCTCTGTCGTAAGAGGAGACTAACGGGATCGAGTGATCAGGCTAGCTGACTTGGTTGATGCATGTCATCGAATCTCAATTGCGTGGATCGATACTTATGATGTCAGTCAGCGGATTGTCTGGTCCAGACTCGATTATTTACAGACCGCCGTCACATACCTGGAATATTGCTTAGTGTGGCGTTAAACAACAAATAAACAAAAACCTAAATCATATATTCTTAGACTGATGTCCATCATGTGTTTCAGCAACCATGATAGTATTCCTTCTTCTACTCGGAGCTGCGTCGGTATATGGGTGAGTGTTACATGGTGAAATGTGCAAAACCAAACTGTTGTAGTCGGCAATGTGTCGATATTTGAGTGAATTATATATACTACAATGTCCAACATTTCAAAATTATAACAGGCAATTATATCAATTATTAGGTGAGTTATAAGTGGATAATGCCAGTTACTTTAAATGATGGAGCATTGGGATAGCCCAGTTGGTGAAGCGTTCGCCCGTCTGGATGAAGATTCGGATTTCAGTTTTCATGTCTGCCAGATATATGGCTGGATTGTTGCTAAGGGTGGAGTAGATCAGTAGCTGCCAACTCACGTTGATAAGTGCTGCGCCTAACATAGAAGGAACTGCGAAATCTGGTGTAGCGGCCATAAATTTCAGAGTCCCGTGATTGGATTCGAACCACGGACCTTCTGAGCAGAGGTCGGACGCCTTGTCCACATGACCAAAGAGGTTAACCTCGTCAGCAAGCTGACAAGGTAAGGATGTCATCTGTGGGATGACACCACGCCCGGCTACATACTTTCCCGTCAACAGAAGGCACGTCCCGGACCGCATAGTAGGGTACTGAGACTTATTTTGCTCAAATTTTAATATGAACGCGCTCAGCTCCATGTTGGGCACCAATGTAGCGGCCATAAAATTTCTGAGTCCCGTGATGGGATTGGAACCACGGACCTACTGAGCAGAGGTCAGACGCCTTGTCCACATGACCAAAGAGGTCAGGATGTCATCTGTGGGATGACACCTCGCCCTGCTACATAGACATTACATGATGTCATAGAAGTATCTCACAAAGACTTAGGTGAATTAAGCAAATTGTTTCACTGTGACAAGTCTGTAAAATATGCAGGGGTCTGTAGCCTTTGGAAAATGGACAAACTTAAGGAACGTACAGTGATCAAGTAGCTGTAGAAAAAGGGCTCAAACCTAAAAATAAAGCGACAAACCCCTTTCCATATCCAGTAGAAATCTCTCCATAAAGCAGAGTCGATTGGACAATTCCGACTGTATCATGAGCATGTGGTTATGAATCACTATCAAATAGTAATGATACCAGGTGTTCTCGAAACCGTGAGCGTATCCTGCCCCACCGGTGGCACCCGTCACCCAACACATGCAAAGGCAAGTCAACTGTTCATGGGAACATGGGAACGTATAGTACATCATTTTTGTCACGGATGCGTCAAAGTTTGAAATGTCCTCCACATGTCTACCATAAACCTGAAAGCTTTACCGAGGCCTTGAATGTTGTAACCTTGATCAAGCAACTTCTGAGCAAGAGTCTTTGAAATCTTGGTAGAAAAATTATACTTGATTGTATCTCAAAAGTTGCGAAATGTAAACATCAAAGTCTGGAGCTGCTGGAAAACATCCATGAAGATATGAGTACAACACTAGGGAAGGAAGCCCCTCTATATGCATTCGTAAAAAGGTGAGAGTCTCCCGTCCTGAAAGGTCCGTCAGGTCAGCAAACCCAGAAATGATCCCGAGAATCCACGATATGATGATGGCCGACTGGCGAATGAATGAGCGTCATATGGTTAGTTCAATAGGCATTTTCCAGGAGAGAGTCACAGATATTTGTCAATGAAGAAATTATCAGCTCGCTGGGTGCCAAAACTGATCGAAAAACACACCAGGCACAACGTGTCTCAAGATCATGTATCTCTGTTTGAAACTGAGCCAGAAGGGTTCTTGCAACAATTGTGACTACATATAGAACCTGGCTTCACCTCCTTCAGCATAAGTCCAACCAACAATCAGACCATTGGAAGCATGGAAATGACTGTCCCATCAGGTGGAAAGGTTATGACCCCCATTTTCTGGGATGCCGAGGGCGTCATCGTGGTGGGCTATCTTCCAAACGATCAAACAATAAACGGAGCATATGATTTTGCATCTGTGAGGCAATTACGGGAAATTAAGTCTAAGAGACATATGAAGCTGAGAATAGGTGCGCTCCTCCATCATAACAATGCACCAGTGCACAAATCAATTACTGTTGTGACCACAATCCTTCAGCGCCCACCTATTCTCCTTGGATGGCGCCTTCAAACTTCCATCTGTTCCTAAACATAAAGAACCAATATCGGCTCGTACAATGACGTCATAGCAGCTGTGGAGAACATTTTGGACAGCCAAGAGAAGCTGGGATAGAATGCTTCCAAGATCGTTGGCAAAATGTTTCAATGTGGAAGGGGATGCATGTTGAAAACTATATGTTAATGTCTTTAGGTCAAGTCTTTCGATGTGAGGCTCAGAAGCTATCAACTCGTGTATCTGTATGTATCTGTCATTGCCAGAGACAATCATTCATCTTCTACCTTCAGGCAAGGTCATGGTCACGGTCACGGTCACGTACACTCCTGTATCCATAACAACCACCAGCAGATGACGGCAAACCAGGTGATCGCCAGCGTCATCGTCGACATGGAGAAAGATGGCGACGGCGCTGTGACACAGGCTGAAGTCATGGCTGAATTCGTCACCAAATACGACCATGACGGTAAAGGAGAGACAATGTGATGATCGGAATTGGGGGAGGGATGGGGGTGGCGGTTGGAGTAGGGGGTTGGGAGGATTCTGGGTTTGCTTATTATAAAATATTTATTCAATTTCGTCAATGCTGGATAACAATATTACTGCCTCATATTTACGAAATAGGCATGTGCTGGAAATTGCAATGTGAATTAATTAAATTGTTCGATTTTCTCGGACATTGAAAATGTGTGCTTAGAAGCAGAGAAATGCAAAAAAAGTCTCTAACTAAATCCAAGTATCCCATGCTTGTCTTATGAGCTGACTAAACGGGAATAGACTGTGTGATCTGGCCGAGTGGTGTCATCCGGATGTTTACTAACGGGTACGTCTACATTTATGTAGACACTCTTTAATCTGGACGTCTTCACTGGTAACGGTCATGTCCAGACCATTGAGGTGTCACTGTATGACCGATATGGAAGTCAGATCGACATGTTTTTGTTAGATTTGTATATTCATGAACAGTCATGTCGGTTATTTTTGTATCGTCCAGGCAGCGGTGATATATAACGTCCCATAGTACAAGAGGTACAGAAGCTCACCTATAGTAGATAAAAATGTAAGCGTTCGATATTCGCCTTAGCAGTTGTTTTGTCATAAACCTATGCAGCCCATCGTTCTGATACGACAAGGGTGGTGGGGTAGCCTAGTGGTTAAAGAGTTCGCTCGTCACGCCGAAGACCAAGGTTCGATTCCCCACATGGGCACAATGTGTGAAGCCCATTTCTGGTGTCTCCCGCCGTGATACTGCACGAATATTGCTAGAAGTGGCGTAAACCCATACACACTCACACACTCTGATACGATTATGTGTTCATTGATATATTTTATGAAGACTTCACAATGGCAATTCTACTTGCTCAAAGCCAAAGACAATGACGTTCACAGATTAGGTTGAGGGACGAACAAATCACATCGTGAAGGTGAGCTATAGCCAGTGTATAAGTCCAACGTATGTCGATGGTGTTGATGTGGTTACAGGTAACGGCGAGATTTCCGAAGATGAGTTTGTAAAGCAATGGCATCACCACTACCACGACGAACACGACTTCGCCAGCTACCTCTTCCACCACTTCGACATAAACGACGACTTGAAACTGACCGACGGTGACATCGCCGCTCTGGAGTTGTCCCTTGATATTGATGGTGTGTGCTTAATAATATGGATTTGGGTGGCAGTCTGACATTCCTTCTTAACATGAAATTAAGATATTTCGCCTTTAGACCATTGCAATTGGTCACAATTCCATTCCTTAAATTTCTGGTGAACGTTCCCTCACTGACATATTGCGAGTCCCGTGATGATTAGGATATACACGTCATATATCTCTATACACCTTAGACATGGTTCCTTATAATGCCTTACAGGTGATGGTAACGTCTCAGTCTCAGAGTTCCAGGCCTATTTGACCAACGTAAGTCGCGGACCTATTATTCATTTTAGGTTCAAAACGTACTCTTCATGTCAAGAAAGGGAAGCAGTTATGCTGCCTCACTATCCTGCCATACTATCGATGTATTAATATGGGGGGAATGTACAGATAGGAATTTATGATGACATTGTATAAATTTCTTCACTGGGGGTGGGGGATGTAATGATTGAATAACATATCGATTTTATACTTTTATTGTTATGAAATGCTAAAATATGTATATATAATAACTGTTTTGATGTTTATGACGACAAAGTGTGCGACTGTCTGTCTCCCACCCTTTCCTGGAGATATACTAACTGTTTCACATTTCACATTTCAGCTCTACACAAACTGTGTGACACATCATGGGCGGTAGAACCGCAATTTAATAAAAAACACTTCCTGTCACGCCGTGTTTCCTCTTCCTTTAGGTATAATTTGGGGGTAAGACATTTAGGCGAGAAGTAGGCATCCCCATGCGCACGAACCGTGCCCCTTCTTGCTGATGTGTTTCTTAATGCATTGGAATCGAGATTTCTGCTGAGATTGTCAAGGTCAAAACAAGGGCATTCAGCAAGAAGTTTAACTTAAGCGTCGGGCATATCATAGCATTAGAAATTGGCACAAGTCCTGTAGTCCTTGCCAAACTGCCCAATAGTTACGGTATCATAAGGACGAGAAGAAATTTCCCAGTTTTAAGGGTTTTGCTATATGTTATCATTATGAGGACTAGTGGACTAAAAGTGTTAGTTTCTACCGTTCTATCAATGGCCTGATATTGTTCAACAATGGTCAAATAGCCAAATTCCTTCCACTTTTTTACCCAAGAGTACAAAAGATTACTGAAACCGCCTCATCAGTTTCATATTTAGATCTAAAGTTTCAGAGTGACATGTATGAGAAGAGGAATGATTTCAACTTTCAACTATAGTCAATTTTACCTTTATTTTGAACAATATTCCAGCAGCTCCAACCTTAGATGTCTACGTTTCAAATAAGGTACAATCAAGTATGATCCTTTATCGAAGATTTTAAAAAGCGGCACACGAATCTTGTTCAAAGTTGTGTCAACATTCCAGACCTCATCAAAGCTTTCACAAAGGTTTATGGAAGAGTTTATTGGGCCACATAGACATGTACAAATAGAGAAATGAGGGCCACAAAGACATGTACAAATAGAGAAATGAGGGCCACATAGACATGTACAAATAGAGAAATGAGGGCCATATAGACATGTACAAATAGAAAAATGAGGGCCACAAAGACATGTACAAATAGAGAAATGAGGGCCACATAGACATGTACAAATAGAGAAATGAGGGCCATATAGACATGTACAAATTGAGAAATGAGGGCCACATAGACATGTACAAATTGAGAAATGAGGACCATATAGACATGTACAAATAGAGAAATGAGGGCCATATAGACATGTACAAATTGAGAAATGAGGGCCATATAGACATGTACAAATAGAGAAATGAGGGCCACATAGACATGTACAAATAGAGAAATGAGGGCCATATAGACATGTACAAATTGAGAAATGAGGGCCACAAAGACATGTACAAATAGAGAAATGAGGGCCATATAGACATGTACAAATTGAGAAATGAGGGCCACATAGACATGTACAAATAGAGAAATGAGGGCCACAAAGACATGTACAAATTGAGAAATGAGGACCATATAGACATGTACAAATAGAGAAATGAGGGCCACATAGACATGTACAAATTGAGAAATGAGGACCATATAGACATGTACAAATAGAGAAATGAGGACCATATAGACATGTACAAATTGAGAAATGAGGGCCACATAGACATGTACAAATAGAGAAATGTCTTTGTTGTTTAAAGCCGCATTCTAGAAAAAGTGTGAGTGACTGCTAGTACTTATCCGGACTAATGCCGAGCTGAAATACCATGCCGCAGTTTAACATGAATACCCCACTTAGACCCAGTATACTGACTCCAAACCAACAAGTCTTTGTTTTATCCCTTCAATGTCAGGGTAACAACAAGTACCATCTTTTATCTATCGAACCCGGACCTTCCGCTCTCCAGACCATACACACTCTACCACTGGACCACGGAGGCGGTCTCATATTTATCTAGAGAAATGTGGGTCGTATTAACATGTATGTGTAAATCTGTGTTTTTAGAAAATACCAGTACAGGTCGCAGTTCGACTGTCATGAAATTTCATTTTGTGCAGAAATTATTTATATAGAAAATTCTTATTCCGATATAAAGAAATACATTATGTTTCTTAAGTCATGCCTTGCAGTTTATCAGCTTGAAATGGCTCAATTAAATCTAAACCGTTAAAAATGTCTATGCATGGGAAACAACATTTGTCAGGCAATATATGTAATATTTTATTTAGAAGGATTACCACCGTCAGCCGTGTGGTCCTCTGTGAACAAGGTAATGCACACAGTAACATTATTATTGCTCAGCTCGCCATGCTCTTGTGTATAGATTCGTAAGTTGTAATCAAAAGTATATTGAGAGAAATACAATATTTAGCTCACCTAGTATAAAAAACCTGAAACTGTTTCACAAAGATAACTTATCGTTATGACTCACGTGGTTCATGTTCTCCGTTATACTGAGTAAGGTTGACGACACTTTTGGTAGTTTTCCTGAAATATCACGGCGCCGGACACCAGAAATGGGCTTCAGGCGTTGTATCCATGTGGGGAATCGAACCCGGTTTTTCGGCGTGATGAGCTAACGCTTTACTCTCAAGGCTATCACACCGCCAATATTCATAAACAGGATTATGCGGGCGTGCGTGCGGGCGTGCGGGCGTGGGTGTGTGCGTGCGTGTGTGCGTGTGTGCGTATGTGTGTGTGTGTGCGTTTGTGTGTGTGTGTGTGTGTGTTGCGCGTTATCAGTCGGCAGGGGCATTGTTGACTTCACTTCGATTACGTTGTCATTTCCTAAACGGGTAAACTGATTGAGCCATAACTGGTACAACAGTTGTAGGATAACATATTAGAACTGAACCTATTGTGTTCAAGGCATCTTCCAAATATGAAAACAAATATGGCTGCCGTCTTTGCAATATGCATATTGTGAGATAATCACACCGGGAGTTATTTGGTATATCCTGTGCGAATGAGTGAGTGAGTGAGTAAATGCAGCAATCTGTTATGTCTGAGCTAGAAGGCGGACCAGGCAAACCAGTGACTGACAGCACACGCAATGATCCACACAATCGAGGCACGAATACACACAATCTGTCGAGTCAGCGATATTGATTTCCGATTGGGATCTGGTGACAAATATGACAAACTAGCGATCTATTCCGACAAGATGCCCCAAGGGCCTATTCTGTGCCGAATATCGTCTACCGTGCTTCTCTTTTTTGTATACATAGGAATTATGATAGGAATAATGCAGAATTAGACTTCCCTACTTCCCTACAGCTGACGTTTTTCTGCTGACGCATCACGGATCACAGCTAACGGGTGACGGGTTTTTTTCTGTAGGCGCATCACGTATTTCAGCTTACGATATGACGTTTTCCTCCTGACGCATCACGTATCACAGTTGACGTTTGTTTGCTTTTGCATTACTGCTGACGTTAGGACGTTTTTTCCGTTTATGCAACACATATCACAGCTGACATTATGATGTTTTATCTGTTGACGCATCACGTATCACTGCTGACATTAGGACGTTTCATCTGTTGACGCATCACGTATCACTGCTGACATTAGGACGTTTCATCTGTTGACGCATCACGTATCACAGCTGACATTAGGACGTTTTATATGTTGACGCATCACGTATCACTGCTGACATTAGGACGTTTTATATGTTGACGCATCACGTATCACTGCTGACATTATGACGTTTCATCTGTTGACGCATCACGTATCACTGCTGACATTAGGACGTTTTATATGTTGACGCATCACGTATCACTGCTGACATTAGGACGTTTCATCTGTTGACGCATCACGTATCACTGCTGACATTAGGACGTTTCATCTGTTGACGCATCACGTATCACTGCTGACATTAGGACGTTTTATATGTTGACGCATCACGTATCACAGCTGGCATTAGGACGTTTTATATGTTGACGCATCACGTATCACAGCTGACATTAGGACGTTTTATATGTTGACGCATCACGTATCACAGCTGGCATTAGGACGTTTTATATGTTGACGCATCACGTATCACAGCTGGCATTAGGACGTTTTATATGTTGACGCATCACGTATCACTGCTGACATTAGGACGTTTTATATGTTGACGCATCACGTATCACAGCTGGCATTAGGACGTTTTATATGTTGACGCATCACGTATCACTGCTGACATTAGGACGTTTCATCTGTTGACGCATCACGTATCACTGCTGACATTAGGACGTTTCATCTGTTGACGCATCACGTATCACAGCTGACATTAGGACGTTTTATATGTTGACGCAGCACGTATCACAGCTGACATTAGGACGTTTTATCTGTTGACGCATCACGTATCACAGCTGACATAAGGACGTTTTATATGTTGACGCATCACGTATCACATCTGACATTAGGACGTTTTTTTCCGTTTATGCAACACATATTACAGCTGACATTATGATGTTTTATCTGTTGACGCATCACGTATCACTGCTGACATTAGGACGTTTTATATGTTGACGCATCACGTATCACATCTGACATTAGGACGTTTTATATGTTGACGCAGCACGTATTTCAGCTGACATTAGGACGTTTTATATGTTGACGCATCACGTATCACAGCTGACGTTTGTTTGCTGTTGATGCATTACTGCTGACGTTAGGACGTTTTTTCCGTCTATGCAACACATATTACAGCTGATATTATGATGTTTTATCTGTTGACGCATCACGTATCACTGCTGACATTAGGACGTTTCATCTGTTGACGCATCACGTATCACTGCTGACATTAGGACGTTTCATCTGTTGACGCATCACGTATCACTGCTGACATTAGGACGTTTCATCTGTTGACGCATCACGTATCACCGCTGACATTAGGACGTTTCATCTGTTGACGCATCACGTATCACTGCTGACATTAGGACGTTTCATCTGTTGACGCATCACGTATCACTGCTGACATTAGGACGTTTCATCTGTTGACGCATCACGTATCACAGCTGGCATTTGGACGTTTTATCTGTTAAAAGAACCATAGAGTGACACGAGTAACTGACAATAAAGTAGCAATGACATATGGTCTTCACTTTTGCACTGAATGCATGACATGATAGTGTGAGCAATTTTCTCCAACTGATATATCTTCATCATCTCCAGAACAATGCCTGATCTCCGCCTTGTCTTTCTACTTCTCGGATCTGCAGCAGTGCATGGGTGAGTCAATCATGAACATGTGTATATGAATCACTGTTAACTGGTCATGACACCAGGTGTTCGTAAAAATGGGGAGCGTATTTCGTATCCCTCAACCGGGGGCACCCGTCATAAACACATGCAAAGGCAAGCACTGTAAGATTGAGTGGAAGGTGGTTGAGTCGCGGATCTGTAGCACTGTGTGGTTGAGTGATTCGTGATGAAGACTCGGATCTGTAGCCCTGTGTGGTTGAGTGATTCGTGATGGAGACTCGGATCTGTAGCACTGGGTGGTTGAGTGACACGTGATGGAGACTCGGATCTGATGCACTGTGTCGTTGAGTGACACGTGATGGAGACTCGGATCTGTAGCCCTGTGTGGTTGAGTGATTCGTGATGGAGACTCGGATCTGTAGCCCTGTGTGGTTGAGTGATTCGTGATGGAGACTCGGATCTGTAGCACTGTGTCGTTGAGTGACACGTGATGGAGACTCGGATCTGTAGCACTGTGTCGTTAAGTGACACGTGATGGAGTCTCGGGTCTGTAGCACTGTGTCGTTGAGTGACAAGTGGTGGAGACTAGGACCTGATGCACTGTGTGGTTGTGTGACACGTGATAGAGTCTCGGGTCTGTAGCACTGTGGGATTTAGTGCCACGTGATGGAGACTCGGGTCTGTAGCACTGTATGGTTGTGTGACACGTGATGGAGTCTTCATTATTCCGTCATTATAAATCTGCATCTTTTGTCTAAAAGGTTTATATGATTCTTCGCCAGCCTTGCTCACAATCTCCGCCAGCAGGGTTGTATCCAAACCAGCCTTAATTTCTCCCCTTACCTCGCCGTCCGCAACATCATCAATGACATGGACAAAAATGGCGACGGCACATTGGAGCAGAGTGAAGTCGTTTCCGAGTTCGTCACAAGATACGACAGTGACAGTACGCATTGTTTATCAGTTGAACACATATAACATACTGCAATCTTCCCAACACCCGTGAAGATGCTACACGCTGATGCCCATCTGCACGTGTGAACGTCAACGTAACATATTCCATGTGACAGCTGTGTCGTTCTTTGATGTGTTTGTTAATGGCAACGTAAATCTGCTAGTTGGTAGTTGTGTAAATCTTTCCTGTGCAAACATTTGTGTAGTTAACATTTAAGAATGTAAACCTAAAGGTTTCGTGTGGACGGTTGAGTGGATATTTTGTGAATTGAAAATGTAAGCCTAAAATCTTCGGTTTAGTGGTTGAATAGTTCTGGGGTGTGATTTACTAATGTAGACGTAAAATCTTCGGGTTGATGGTTGTGAAGTTCGTTGATGTGAATTCTAGAAGTAAACGTAAAATCTTGGAGTTGATAGTCATGTAGTTCTTTGATTTGAATTTGAGAATGTAAATCTTAAATTTTCGAGTTGATGATTGTGTATTTCTCCTACATGAATTTAGGTATGCAAACGTAAAATCTTCGGGTTGATGGTTGCGTAGTTCTTTGATGTGAACTTAAGAATGCAATCGTAAAATCTTCGGGTTGACAGTTGTGTAGAACTTTTGTGTGCAAACACGTTTGTAGATATCTAACGTGCATTGTGCATTTTAGCATGGCAACGTAAGATTTTCGAGTTGATGGTTGTGTAGTTCTTTGTTGTGCTTGTTAGAATGGCAACGTAAACTCATCGAGTTGATGGCTGTGTATGTCTTTGTTGTGCTTGTTTGAATGGCAACGTAAACTCATCGAGTTGATGGCTGTGTAGTTCTTTGTTGTGCTTGTTTGAATGGCAACGTAAACTCATCGAGTTGATGGCTGTGTATGTCTTTGTTGTGCTTGTTTGAATGGCAACGTAAACTCATCGAGTTGATGGCTGTGTAGGTCTTTGTTGTGCTTGTTTGAATGGCAACGTAAACTCATCGAGTTGATGGCTGTGTAGGTCTTTGTTGTGCATTTTAGAATGGCAACGTTAGATCTTTGAGTTGATGGTTGTGTAGTTATTTGTTGTGCATTTTAGAATGGCAACGTAAACTTATCGAGTTGATGGTTGTGTAGTTCTCTGTTGTGCATTTTACAAAGTCAACGTACACTCATCGAGTTGATGGCTGTGTAGGTCTTTGTTGTGCTCGTTAGAATGTCAACGAAAACTCATCGAGTTGATGGCTGTGTAGGTCTTTGTTGTGCTTGTTAGAATTTCAACGTAATATCTTCGAATTGATGGTTGTGTAATTATTTGTTGTGCATTTTAGAATGGCAGCGTAAACTCTTCGAGTTGATGGTTGTGTAGTTCTTTGTTGGGCTTGTTAGAATGTCAACGTGAACTCTTCGAGTTGATGGCTGTGTAGGTCTGTGTTGTGCTTGTTAGAATGGCAACGCAACATCCCGTAGGTGATTGTTGTGTGAGCATGTGGTGTGTGAATGTATAGCACCTGCTGGCGGATCGGGGGTGCAGGGGAAACGCAGCATTCAATTTTCTTTTAAAATTTGAATATTTAGAGGCGTGCGTAGTTGAACAACTATCAAACAAATATAATTTCAGTGTCCCCACCTTCTTCTGAGATAAGGCCAACGGGGCCAAAGTACTGAAATATATTTTTTTAAGTTATTGTTTAATGAGTGAGTGAGTGAGTGAGTGAGTGAGTGAGTGAGGTTTTACGCCGCTTTTAGCAATATTCCAGCAATATCACGGCGGGGGACACCAGAAATGGGCTTCACACATTGTACCCATGTCGGGAATCGAACCCGGGTCTTCGGCATGACGAGCTAACGCTTTAACCACTAGGCTACCCGACCGCCCCTATTGTTTAATGGATACCCGGAGCAAATGCCATGTGGCACCGTGTACAATGTACGTACTGTTTGCTCCTCGCCACTGAGAAGATAATTGTATGATTCAGATCAGTGACGAAAAACAGACAAATAAAACGTTTAGGTCGTTAAATACGCCTTGCAACACACTGGTTGTGATATTAACGGTATTTAACGGGGACTAGTGCAACAATCTCTATAATGATGACACAAATTCACAGACAACAGTGAGATCACGGAGGCGGAATTTGTGATTCAGTGGATCTTGCGGTACCATGATGGGCGCGACTTCGCCGTCTACCTCTTCCACCACTTCGACAAGAACGATGACCTGAAACTAACATCTGCCGACTTCCTCGGTCTTCAAGCAGAGATTGACAGCAACGGTGAGTGTTGTGGCCACTGCATCTACTGTTAGAAACTATTGTAGCCAAAGATCCTCACCACAGATACGACCCGTGAAGATCCGGGGTAGAATAGGTCTTCAGCAACCCATGCTTGCCGTAAAAGGTGACTATGCTTGTCGTAAGAGGCGACTAACGGGATCGGGGTGGTCAGGCTCGCTGACTTGGTTGATGCATGTCATCGTATCACCAATGCGTGTATCGATGCTCATGATGTCAATCACTGGATTGTCAGGTCAACACTCGATTATTTACAGATCGCCGTCATATAGCTAGAATATTGCTGAGTGAGGCGTTAAAGAACAAACAAACAAAATCACCAGAGATGCCAGGTTGAATCGCACTGACCGCGTGGTGATTCCGGGTTACAACTGAATCCACCATATAACCTACGACGACTCATTAGATCGGGTGGTCAGGTTCTGTGACTTGGTTGATTGCGAGGTTCGTTGCTCACAATATCGACCACTGGATTGTCTGTCTAAACTGGACTAATTACAGGCCGTCATATAAATTGAATATTGCCGAGTGCGACGTTAAACAAGAAAACTAACATGAATCGTACTTGGTTTCTCGTCTACGTCTGTAAGTATGGCCACCACTGTCAAGTGGAATATGACGTGTTCGGATGTGCAGGCAAAAGTGAAGCTTGTGATAACCGACATGATTCTTTTAGCAATGAAAGGTACGTCGGACTATATGCTGAGCGATGAAATAGTAACTTAACATACATATTAATCTTTTTACGCCGATAAGAAAATAATATCTAGCTTTTCACGCCGTGTTTAACGTGGGAGGAAAACCCGAAGTGATGAAGGTCTCAGACTTTACAACTTGAAACCAATGAGCATGGGTATGGTGCTGAAGGACATATTACCGTGGAGAACCGGGATTCGAACCCACAATCATAGGTTTCTTGCGTACCCAAATACGTAAGTCTGCACAGCGAATAGACGACTGGGCCACCCGTGCCCAAACATTTTCAGTGAGTGAGTTGGGTTTAACGCCGCTTTTAACAGTATTCCAGTTATATAGCGGCGTGTCAGCTTAATGTGGGAGGAAAGCCCGAAGTGATGCAGGTCTTAGACGTTTACCAGTTCGGTGAAACCCATGAGCACGGGTATGGTGCTGACAAACCTAGAAACATAATTGGGGCGAACCGGGATTCGAACCCACAATCATAGGTTTCTGGCGTGCCCAAGGGACGCAACTCTGCACAGCGAATCGCGGCGCGTTAGACGACTGGGCCACCCGTGCCCCCCAAACATTGTCAGGCTAAAATGAGTACTATAACATAGAATCATTAGAAATTTGCCCTTTTAAACATGTTTATCTCATGAAGTGACCTGAAAGTTTGAGGTTAATATGGTGGTGTGTCCGAGATTGTGATCAGGCCAATTGTTAAACGCTGAATATCAACCTCTGGTGCCTTTAATCAACCTTGACATTTGATAACGCTGGATGGCTGGAATATTGTTGAGTGCGCCATTAATAAACACTCCCCCACCTACCCGATCACCCGATCTCACCCCAAGTTCAAAGTACACGTCCTTTATGTTTCAGGTGACGGTAAATTGTCTGACGCCGAGTTCAAAACATTTATGCTCGACGTGAGTAACAACATGCTCTCAGTAAAAAATAACGTCATAAGGACGTCAATGACGTCATTGATTAGTCGCACATAGTTTATGAACATCGCTCACAGTATCGATCACTGGTTTGTCTGGTTCAGAAAAATTACTTTAAGACCATCGCCATAACGATGACATATTCGGCTTCATCAACAACAGAAGAATCTTCTTAAAGGATGTTATTATGTGGACTGGTTTGTAGCAATCTCATCAAAATCAGATCTCAGTTTTCTTTACATGCCATTACGGGTCACGTCAGAACGACCTTTCGCGAATTTTGACCGACCAATGAAATGACTGACAAGAAATCGACATTAGCCAATCAGAAGGCAGCTTCCTCGAGCTTTACGACACTAGTTTCAAACTGGCCCCCACGCTTCGAAACATATTTTGACGTATTCTCGATTGAAAAAAATTAAAACTGATAAGAAGAACATTCTGGAATGGCTTATAGATGGCCTAGATTGTATGTATATAATCATAAAACCCGTAACTGTCGTTCGGAATACCCCGTGTTAAATAGTTCGTGGTTGCATGATTAGAAAACACATTCCGACTGTCACTTTCATGATCTGGTAAGCGACGCTCTGATTGGTTGGATGAAAGATCATTCTGACGTGACCCTTAATTGGATGTCCTCAGATCTTTGTTTAGCGATAGCGAGAACTAAGATCTGATTTTAATTAGATTGGGTTTGTAGGGCTTTCTGTTGTCTTGCAATAGAAATATATGACGTGTTATCGAGTTAAACTTTACCCTTTATACACACTATGAATGTTAAAATGTGTGTATAGACAGACTCCCGTATTTCTTCATATATTTTACCATAAATATACACACATACAATAAAAAAAAGTTAATTAACCTAGAATTTATCCACATATATGTGTTCCTGGTTTCAGATCTACAAGAATTGTGTTCCTGGAAGTTAGAAAAGACAAAAAAATTATTTTCAAACAACGTCGTGTCCAGATGACATTACCAACGAAGCGATGCATATTACAGTATAGATCTCATAGATTATAACACAATTTCGACTCATATGGAAAGAAACATACATTCATTCATTCACTAACCAAATCTAGCTAACCTGTTTTTTTATAATATCGGGGGACAATACACGCGTTTGGAAAGTTTTGTTTTGTTTGTTTGTTTGTTCATTTGCTTGTTTGTTTGTTTGTTTGTTGTTTAACGCCGCAATCAGCAATATTTCAGCTATATGACGGCGGTCTGTACAAAATCGTGTCTGAACCAGACATCCCAGTGATGACATCATGAGCATCGGTCTACGCAATTGGGACACGATGACATGCATCAACCAAGTCAGCGAGACAGACCACCCGATCCCGTTATTGTGGCGCCGTTTCGTGACCGATATAGGATCACTTTGTGATAAAAGCATGAAACTTGGCACAGTTGTAGGCAATGACATTCCAAAGATTTTCAGATATGGGGCCACCCAAACAAATCCAATATGACTGCCAAAGCCAATATGGCCGAAATGGCGGAATGAAACTCTTTGTGAACATGGCCCACAATCTAAATATACTCTCCGACAACAGAAACGCGAAAACCATATATGGAGGTTAATATATGAAGAATTACTTTTATTCAAGAGATATTAGATTTGTTTGATGCACAAACGAACATACTGGTATATTGTGTGAACCGACGGGCAAGAAAGCATCAAATGTGACGTCATAGATCCATGACTCTTTACATCATTTGTCTTGTGCCTGATTAGCGCGTCAAGTTTGGAAATCGTGTGCAACATATCAGAATAAAATAAGAATAAAGACTCTGTGTGGTTCCACTTGACAGATTGTTAGTTGTGTCATAAATTGGTACACACTGGAAATATCTCTTCTTACCGTACATACTTCTCTATATGTTCCTAGGGTTTCTTTTGGTGGTGAGTATATGTTCATATGGCTAATTAACTATATCAATATTGTGTACTCATATGGTGAATACTACGACAACAACATGATATTTAAAAAAAGAAAATTGTATTTTTTTTAAATATACCATAAATGGCTAATAATTTTTGGTTGGTTAGGTGACCACAGTTGCCACCACATGTGCAAAGTATTGTACCAATTACATGTGCCATAACAGTCACACCTAGCTCTGCAAGCCCTCTCAGACTTACAACTATATTCAGAAGCTCTTGGCATGACTTAGAAGCTTGTGGTTGTGTAGTCCACAAAGGCTCATAGCCGTGTGCTACTGATCCCCACTCAGTAGGTGTGAATAGGTCTGTTTCGGCCTCCAGACTTCGTCCCCAACAGTGGCCAACATGAAATGCAGCTGTTTTGACATGTTGGTCCATAGCAGCTGATGTGGGAGGAATGGAATCAATTGCTCTACCTTTCTTACTAAGTAAGTCTTTGCGTGCCTCATCGACTTTTATACTGACCCAATCATTCATTAATACCACACACAAAACGCTGAATGACTGGCATCATGTTCTTCCCATCCTGTTTGGTTGGCCCATCACCGAAGCCTTGGTTGCTTCGTCATACACATTAGATGGTTCTTGAGCTGGTTTTATGTTAACCTTTTCCCACAAAGAAAGATGTCTGGGCACAGCCAGTAAAGCTCGAAGTGAATAGGCTTTCTTTGGTCCATGGAATCCGGCAAGGACATGTGAATTGTGTGCCAGTTCCAAAAGTGTGAGACACATCTATCCTGTCAAACAATACAATGGCCATGACAATGACATCAGTATCTACTGCAAGAATCAAAATCCTATCATGACCCATATCTGGCAGCAGGAGACATGTGCAAAACGAGTCTTGTGTCAGCTTCTTCATCTGAACACGGATGCAGATCATTGACAAGGCCCATGGCTAACCAAAGCCACTGATTTTGAATGTTCCCAAACACCACACTATGGAAGAGGAATTCAAGAAAAGTAATCGTGTTGTGAAAATAACCAACTTTGGAGAGTAACATCTCCATCAGAAAACAATATCGATATAAAGCTAAAGTCACAGCAGAATCACAACAGTCATTTTACTGAAAAATGCAAATGAAAACGACAAAATAATTTTTATAATCCTAAGAAAATTCTACTGTGAACAGAGTCAATTGTACAATTCATAGTATGGCATGAACATATGTTTATGAGCTACTATCAAATGGTGATGATACCAGGTGTTCGGGAAATACGTTCCACATAATCTATCTTATTTCCCTAACAAATCTTTAACAACAAAATATATTTTGAGTTTGAGTTGCGAGATGCAATTCTCGGGTGATACAACAAAACACTAAAATCCCCCTAATGCCACGTTTAATGGACACTAGAATATCGAGGAGCCTTGGTTTTTCAGTGGAGTGTTCTCCTTTTCTGCAGGTGTACGCATTAGACGTTCAAAATTAATATAGCGTTATATTTTCAAACAAAATCAGTAATGCGCTATCGTGTCACTTGATTGTCTGGTGGAGACTCGATTGTTTCCAGGTCGCCGTCGTATATGACAGGACTACTGCCGTGCGGCGTCAACAACAAACACACAGTTACTTTTGGTTCAAATTGTTTGCGTGGCGAGAGCGACCGGAAGGACGGAACATGCTTACCCTTTTTTGCGAACACCCGGTGTCATCACTGATTTTCAGTGATCCATTCATATGATTTTCACCGCTAGTTTGCCTTTTACGCTGAATGGAAACTGTTTCGATAAACGAGGCCAATTTTTCTCTGGCGTTGACGTTTTCCACATTTCTACATTTATCTCAATATTTGACAGATATGGGGTGAAATGGGGTTTAACGTCGCGTCCAAGATTATTGCACTTATATAGCATGCACGTGTGTGTGGCTGCTTGTACTAAAGTATTCACGGAAATGAAAAAACCCTGTTTTTTCGATCTCAGAGTTTAAATAAATGCAGTTAATATACAAAATATATAAATATTCAAACAACTCAATTAGTACTAATTGGGCCTTGGCACAAATACAGCGTATCAAATGTTTTTATGTCTTTTTACAGATAAAAGTTTGTAAAAATATGAATAAAACAGACTATTGTGAAACTGAGCATAACCAGGTGTTAGTAGATCGAGGTGAATGTCCATGACCTATGACACCTTGACGACAGGTGAAAACAGGTGCTTGAAACCCACGTGCATGTGATTTGTCAGTTGTTTGTGATTTGTCAGTGGCATTGTGGGATAGTGAATCATCGTCAAAATATCAGAACGTAAAAGTAACATATTCCCTTCTCAAACAACAACTTACATGTCATTATTATTATGTACATAAACATAGCTGTTATTTTTGTTGTTGTTTTGATAACTTTTTTCCAGGCTAATTTTGCGTAATGCCTATAGCCTGTTTCTGCCATGTCAATTTGGACAGGTTTATTTTTGAATGTTGAAAGTGCCTACAAATTACCTCCTGTAAAGTACATTTTGTATTGAGCACTAAGATAAAACTAGCAAATCCAGACTAGTACTTTTCCAGTTGTTTTGTTATTTCATATTTACATCTACGTAATGCTTTGTGTCGATTATTAAATCCAGCAAAAGAGGGGTTTTTTCATTTCCATGAGTACTTGAGTCCGGACTGATGCTGATTTATAGTGCTAGCTCACTGAGATACCATGCCACAGTTTAATATGAATACCCCACTCAGACACAGTATACTGACTCCGAGCTGACCAGTCCTTGTTTTAGCCCCTTAATGCCGAGCGTAACAGGGTAATAACAAGCACCATCTTTTAATGTCTTTTGGTATGACGGGGGATCGAACCCCGGACTTTCCGCTCTCCGGGCGGACGCACTACCACTAGGTCACTTAGGCGGTCCATTATTTGATTGAGACATTTTTGTCTTGTAAATAGTATATCTTGGTTCAGAAACACCCTTCAAACATTGTGGCCTGTTACACATAATCAAAAGTGTGCTAGCTCTTAGACCAAATATTTAAAGTTGGTCAGCAATCTGACGCCTTACAGCATGTGTGCTGTGAGATAAATCATGTCACTTAAATTTAGATGAGGAGCACTGGAACAGAATGTTTTTTCGGTCATTTCTTAAAGACATACAATGTTTATTGAAATATAAGTTTTTGCCCAACACATATTCGTCAGAACATCTCTAACATCTCCATCGCTCAGAGAGATTTTTTCAAACTAGAGGCACAATGTTTCCGAAAATTATCTCCAAAGAAATTATTAAAAATCGACAGCACTCAACCTCTGATGATGATACTAAGATACTGAGTCAGAATCTAACAAACCCATGCCCTCACACTTAAAACGCACAGCACACCACCCCCTCCCCGCGCCCCCAAAATGTATGGTTCTGACAAATGAAGAATTATTATCAGGATTCGATCATTGACTGGGCTTTGTCAACATAAACGGAGGACAGGCGTTGGCCGATTTCTGGTAGGCTGCATCCACACTATAGCCGCATATGGTGGAGACTTATACCCCAATAGCGCTACGTTTGTTCCGCGAACAAAGAGTGAAGCCAGTTTAGATCATAGGTTTCTGGCGTGGCTAAGGGACGCAACTCTGCGCATCGCGGCGACTGGGCCACCCACGTCCTTCTACTCACAAAGAAGCAGAATTCTATCTCATTGCGACCCTTAGGGTAACACATCTAATGCCAGCTGAAGGTTTTGGATCTTGCTTTGTCAACAGACCTCGTGGTGGTGCTTAGCAAATATATACACATTACCGCTAAAACAGACTTCGTGGTGATGTTTAGCTAATATCTCAAAATTACCACTGAAACGGCCTTCTTGGTGATTCTCTAGCGAATATATGAACATTATGTCTGTAACAGACCTGGACCTCGTGGTGATGCTTAAAGAGTGAGTGAGTGAGTGAGTTTGGTTTAACGCCGCTTTTAACAGTATTCCAGTTATATCAAGGCGTGTCAGCTTATTGTGGGAGGAAAGCCCGAAGTGATGCAGGTCTAAGACGTTTACCACTTCGGTGAAACCCACGAGCACGGGTATGGTGCTGACAAACCTAGAAACATAATCGGGGCGAACCGGGATTCGAACCCACAATCATAGGTTTCTGGCGTGCCCAAGGGACGCAACTCTGCACAGCGAATCTGATGCTTAAAGAACTCATAAACATTACACATGAACATGACCTACTGAAGCAAATCTCGGAATGGTCCTTAGCAACCCGTTGGTGTCCCTTGGCAACCTTTTGTGTTATGAACATGACCAGTGAAGCAGAGCATGGAATGTTGCTTAGAAACCCGAAGCATCCTTTGGCAACCTGAAGGATCTCACACATGACCACTGACGTTGAGCTAGAAATGTTGCTTAGCAACCTATAAGGTCAAAAATATGAACACTGAATTAGAGTTTGAAGTTTCCTAGGTACCCGTAGGGGTTTCCACTTGACCAACGAAAACAGGGTCGCTGGTACATGCTCAGCAAACTGTCCAAGAGCAGCCGAGGGGCCCCGCTGAAGCGTCCTTGATTGTTAAAAGAAGTCGGTGAGGAGGTCATGAGATGAGGTCTTTGATAAGCATTCAGAACATGAATATTTTAAAACTATTTAAAACAACTTTTTTCATTCTTTGTCACGAGGTTCAGAGCTACTTCTTGTTTCTTCATCACGCGAATGCTGATGAAGGAGCAAGAAGTAGTTTTGAAACGCCCATAAAAAATGTTATTTCAGGTCAACAGATGCCCAAAATAAATTCAGATGCAAACATGGACACCCTATCCGGCTTTATACACCTTTTAACATTACACACTGTTATTCTGAGGATAAAACTCCAGTTTCTAACATGTCAGGTAAATTAATCACTTTCAAATTTTAAAATATAGGTGAAAGCGCGTCAAATTGTGTACATCAGATTGTTGACTCCCAGTCGCTCCCATACCTCCTTGCGTGTGTGACCAAACAGCTGATCGAGTCTATAAAACACCCTGCCAATAGTGCGGAGCATGCACACTCCATTCTTGCACACACACACACAGGTAAGTCAGCGTTGTGTTTATCAGGTAGAACATAGTTCAGTTGTTAGATCAAACAGGGTGATTCAACAGTTGGCAAGGTTCGACATGGATGAGGTGATACAGATACAGCAGCGACTATGGGTCATCAATGAATCGATAACCTGGGATCATATTCGGCAATTAACGCCGACGTAGAAACGGATTTAGATGGAATGAATTATTATTGTGGGTAGAGGTCTTGGGTTTTTTTAGAAACATTTTTGTCGCATACTTTTTTCAAATATGCAGCAGAACCAGCAAACACTTTTTAAAAGTAAAACCTGATGCAATTTTATTGTTTTAAGTAATTTTTGGAACAGTTTTTTTAGTCTCTGAATGTCGAAACCTAATCGTTTCGCCATCTACATGGTTCGGCAAAAGTTTTTAGCAAGTGTTTACAGTCTGATATTCATATTTTGAGATAACACACATGTCAAACATGTGTATTTTAGAGGGAAACTACTTAAAACGTTAATAGATAACTGTGTTAGTGCATTTGATTACTTAAACCAATGCTTCCACTAGTGTTGTCTTGTCATCGATATTTTTCATCCGGCCATGTTGATGGGTGGCTTTACCGTTTGTGTGTGACATACACAACCAATTCTTGGTGCTTAAGTACAGAAAGGTATAACATATCATTTCGACTTATAAGGAACTCAGTTTTATGCTAGAACTACAATATGTTCAATGAAGAGGTTTCACCAAGTATACTACTCAAAAGAAGTTACAGAACATAAGATTTCATATGACTATAGTTAATCTGTGATGCAATTACAAGATGCTTCATATGACTGCAGTTTATCTGTCATGCCATTACAATATGTTTCATGTGACTGCAGTTAATCTGTCATGCCATTACAAGATGTTTCATATGACTGCAGTTTATCTGTCATGCCATTACAAGATGTTTCATATGACTGCAGTTATTCTGTCACCCCATGACATGATGGTTTTTTTACTTCTGTTGAGTATTATACATTTTACGATCGCCATCACTGCTCTCGTTTCATCATCTGAACAATAGGTCGCCTTCAAGTGTTTTGTTTTAATTTTTATTACTTTTTGTAAAGAAAATAATTATTTCTTTGGGAAATGTTACATACAGTTTTCTTAAAGCTCTTTATTTTTTACCAATTGTAATAAGTACGAAAAGGTTAAATAAAAGTGACAAAACTCTTTTCATGTTTATAAGAAATATCTGCTAAAAGCAGAGTCGATTATATCATGAGCATGTGTTTATGAATCACTAGCAAATAGTGATGATACCAGGTGTCCCCAGAAAGGTGGTATCTTTCATATCTTTCATATGTTTACATAGAACATATCACCAGCGCGAGTTGACTAAAGTAAAACTCCAACTGTACTTTCATCGAAGGGTATTTTTTGCACAGTGAGACATGAAAGTGACATGTATCATTTAATATCCTTTATATAAAACTGTTTGTTTAATGGGAAGATCAATTTGGAGTTTTTTGTTATTATTATGATGCTTTACAACGCGAGAAAATAGCGATACGCGTTTATTTTATTGAATTGAAGCTCCCGCGGCCTGACGATTGTGTATGTCGAAGGTTCTTACACTTTTATATTATACTTATATCAGGCAAAGAAAATATTTTAAGTAAACAGTAGTCAAAATCACCATGGTTACTTATTAATTGTAACCTTCACGCTTACGCTTATGGAGATCCGATCGAGTGGTCGCTGACTTGGTTGATGCAAGTCATCACATCTTAATTGCGTGGATCGATCCTCGTAATGTCATTCACTGGATTGTCTGGTCCAGACTTGATTAATTACAGACCGCCGTCATATAGTGGGAATATAGCTGGGTGTGGCGTTAAACAACAAACAAATAGCTTTTTTAGATTTTTGTAAATTGACAAATCGTAGTGCAGTATTTATATTTTTCATATGCGAGGGGAAGAAAACCTGTCTTTTATTCTGTTATTAATATATGAGGAGCAATGGGCTGAAATGATTCGTGGTATGATTATTGTGAAATCAAGATGTTTCTGATTTGAAAGCAACGTTTGTATTTCGCTTTCCACAGCAGCATGTTAGCACTCGCAGTCCTTCTTCTTGCCGCAGTGGCTTATGGGTAAGTCGAAATCTTTTTCCTTGCCGTTTGGGCTCATAGGTAAGGGGAGGGTCATTTATAATAGAGTGTGTGGGGTGTGTTGGGGTAGGGTGGTGGTGGTGTGCGTGCGTGCGTGCGTGCGTGCGTGCGTGCGCGTGTGTGTGTGTGGAGGGGGGTTGGAATTGGTCTTAGAACTCTAACGTACTTTGCTGACACACATGTTCTTTTATAAAGAAAGCAAATATTTAAAAAATAGAATTTTCATGATTTTCATAGCAGGTAGAGGTCAGGGATGACCACTGTCCATCACTTGTGTTTACTGGCTGCCAGGTAGAGAGAAACGGGTGTCCACTGTCCATTCCTGTATTTACTGACTACCAGTTAGAGAGAAACGGGTATCCACTGTCCATTCTTGTGTTTACTGATTACCAGATAGAGAGAAACGGGTGTCCACTGTCCATTCTTGTGTTTACTGACTACCAGGTAGAGAGAAACGGGTGTCCACTGTCCATTCCTGTGTTTACTGACCACCAGGTAGAGAGAAACGGGTGTCCACTGTCCATTCTTGTGTTTACTGACTACCAGGTAGAGAGAAACGGGTGTCCACTGTCCATTCCTGTGTTTACTGACTACCAGTTAGAGAGAAACGGGTATCCACTGTCCATTCTTGTGTTTACTGATTACCAGATAGAGAGAAACGGGTGTCCACTGTCCATTCTTGTGTTTACTGACTACCAGGTAGAGAGAAACGGGTGTCTACTGTCCATTCCTGTGTTTACTGACCACCAGGTAGAGAGAAACGGGTGTCCACTGTCCATTCTTGTGTTTACTGACTACCAGGTAGAGAGAAACGGGTGTCCACTGTCCATTCTTGTGTTTACTGATTACCAGATAGAGAGAAACGGGTGTCCACTGTCCATTCCTGTGTTTACTGACTACCGGGTAGAGAGAAACGGGTGTCCACTGTCCATTCCTGTGTTTACTGACTACCGGGTAGAGAGAAACGGGTGTCCACTGTCCATTCTTGTCTTACTGACTACCAGGTAGAGAGAAACGGGTGTCCACTGTCCATTCTTGTGTTTACTGTCTACCGGGTAGAGAGAAACGGGTGTCCACTGTCCATTCTTGTGTTTACTGTCTACCGGGTAGAGAGAAACGGGTGTCCACTGTCCATTCCTGTGTTTACTGACTACCAGTTAGAGAGAAACGAGTGTCCACTGTCCATTCCTGTGTTTACTGTCTACCGGGTAGAGAAACGGTTGTCCACTGTCCATTAATTCTTTTTACTGTCTACCGGGTAGAGAAACGGGTGTCCACTGCTTATTCCTTGTGTTTACTTGCTACCGGGATATCCACTGTCCTTGTCATTCAGCCAGGAAAAGTGTATCCACTCCAACGCTATGTCGCACACCGCCGACATGGTCATTCTCAGGGCCCTCAACGACATGGACCAGAACGGCGACGGCATTGTTACCGACATGGAAATCCTCAACGAGTTTGTCTCCAATTTCGATCACGACGGTGAGATTATTTTAGAGTGAGTGAGTGAGTATGGTTTCACGCCGCTTTTAGCAATATTCAAGCAATATCACGGCGGGGGATACCAGAAATGGGCTCCACACATTGTACCCATGTCGGGAATCGAACCCGGGTCTTCGGCTTGTCGAGCGAACGCTTTAACCACTTGGCTACCCGAACCGCCCCAGATTATTTTAGAAACCAGACACTATGTATTCGTTTCACCTCAGGTTCCCGGTGAATTCTTTAAAACGTTATGATATTCCTGTAGCATTATATAGATCGGCGTCCACATACATCATCCACAGCTTGTAGTGTAGTGTGTAGTTCCAATAACATCATCCACAGCTTGTAGTGTAGTGTGTAGATCCAATAGCATCATCCACAGCTTGTAGTGTAGTGTGTAGATCCAATAACATCACAGCTTGTAGTGTAGTGTGTAGTTCCATTAACATCACAGCTGATGGTAGTGTAGTGTGTAGATCCAATAACATCACAGCTGATTGTAGTGTAGTGTGTAGATCCAATCCAATCACAGCTGATTGTAGCGTTGTGTGTAGTTCCAATCACATCTTCCACAGCTTGTAGTGTAGTGTGTAGATCCAATAACATCATCCACAGCTTGTAGTGTAGTGTGTAGATCCAATTCAATCACAGCTTGTAGTGTAGTGTGTAGATCCAATAACATCACAGCTTCTAGTGTTGTGTGTAGTTCCAATCACCTCTTCCACAGCTTGTAGTGTAGTGTGTAGATCCAATAACATCACAGCTGATGTTAGTGTAGTGTGCAGTTCCAATAAAATCACAGATTGTAGTGTAGTGTGTAGATCCAATCACATCTTCCACAGCGTGTAGTGCAGTGTGTAGATCAAATCACATCTTCCACAGCTTGTAGTGTAGTGTGCAGTTCCAATAACATCACAGATTGTAGTGTAGTGTGTAGTTTCAATAACATCACAGCTGATTGTAGTGTAGTGTGTAGATCCAATCACATCTTCCACAGCTTGTAGTGTAGTGTGCAGTTCCAATAACATTACAGATTGTAGTGTAGTGTGCAGTTCCAATAACATCACAGATTGTATTGTAGTGTGTAGTTTTAATAACATCACAGCTTGTAGTGTAGTGTGTAGATCCAATAACATCACAGCTTGTAGTGTAGTGTGTAGATCCAATAACATCACAGCTTGTAGTGTAGTGTGCAGTTCCAATAACATCACAGATTGTAGTGTAGTGTGTAATTTCAATAACATCACAGCTTGTAGTGTAGTGTGTAGATCCAATAACATCACAGCTTGTAGTGTAGTGTGTAGATCCAATAACATCACAGCTTGTAGTGTAGTGTGCAGTTCCAATAACATTACAGATTGTAGTGTAGTGTGCAGTTCCAATAACATCACAGATTGTAGTGTAGTGTGTAGTTTCAATAACATCACAGCTTGTAGTGTAGTGTGTAGATCCAATAACATCACAGCTTGTAGTGTAGTGTGTAGATCCAATAACATCATCCACAGCTTGTAGTGTAGTGTGTAGATCCAATAATATCTTCCACAGCTTGTAGTGTAGTGTGTAGATCCAATAACATCACAGCTTGTAGTGTAGTGTGTAGATCCAATAACATCACAACTTGTAGTGTAGTGTGTAGATCCAATAATATCTTCCACAGCTTGTAGTGTAGTGTGTAGATCCAATAACATCACAGCTGATGGTAGTGTAGTGTGTAGATCCAATAACATCACAGCTGATTGTAGTGTTGTGTGTAGTTCCAATCATATCTTCCCCAGCTTGTAGTGTAGTGTTTAGTACCAATCGCATCATCCTAATCATCTTTCCTAATGCCCTAGGTCATCATGGCCTGCATGTTTGGGTTCACCAGTTTCACTAATTCGTGTGACTATCACTGTCACAAAAGGGGCGGTCGGGTAGCCTAGAGGTTAAAGCGTTCGCTCGTCACGCCGAAGATCCGGGATCGAATCCCGACATGGGTACAATGTGTGAAGCCCATTTCTGGTGTCCCCCGCCGTGATATTGCTGGAATATTGCTAAAAGCGGCGTAAAACCAAACTCACTCACTCACTCACTGTCACAAAAAAAGTATGGCGTCAGGCGTGACCTTCACTTGTTCCCAAGTTGTTCACAGCTATTTTGCCCTTGACGCCAAATGGAATCTGTTTCGGTGGATAATCTAGACTGGTTATGTCCTTGAATTGACAGTTGATGTTTATATTGTTTAGCACGAACTTCATTGATGTTATGCAATATCCCCATACTCGCTGCGTCCATTCGTGACCAACTCGTGTTATTCCGGGACAAGCCGAATAGCGACTCGTGCCCCTCTCGTGACCATTTTTGCGACCGGGTTCCGTCTTAGCGCAAACGGGCATACCTAAAACAATTGTCAACTCGTTGCGTAATGGTTCACACATTTTCCCCATATATTATATATATTTCAGATGCAATTTAAAGAACATCGGAACGTGCGGAATTATACAGTATGATCGAAAGCATTTAACTGTGTCTTTGGTATATTTTTAGATGCAAGACATATGTAAAATCAAAAAATATTTCTGAGGGATTCTTTGACGAAGAAATTGAAATCATACGCGCATTCTGATTGGTTTGTCGTATTTTCGCACATAACATTCATCGATAGGGGGACGAGTCTTCTTGCAGGTGACGGAAAGGGGCGAGTGGTGACGAATGTCGCTGCGTCCCGAGTTGCAATATAGATGACGGAATAAGCCGAGACAAACCGAATAATGTTGTTCATAGGACACAGGCTGTCGATTATTTGAAGGATGCAAGGGTTCAAACCTTCTTGCCGCAGCCAGGGTAACATCAAGGATTTGTTGTCGTTTTTCTGTACAGAACTTTAAAATCGTCCGATTCTGTGACACAGGTAGTCTGTCCATCTCGAGAGCTGAGTTTGTCAAACAGTGGAGCGCCACCTACCACGACAGCCCTGACTTCGCCGCCTTCATCTTCACCAAGTTTGACACCAACGGCGACGGAAGTCTTGGCCTCTTTGACGTATCAGGGCTGAAGAGCAAGGTTGACACTAACCGTAAGTGTTGTTAGCCGTGTCCAGGTGTGGGAATTCAGGAATATGTCTCTTTAGGATTTACATTTTATACGTTTTTAGTTTGTTCTTTATTAACATAACAGTGATTATTATTCAAGATGGTGTGAGTTGTATCTCATTCTACACGTGTTAGTTTGTTGTATCTCAATATACACGTGTTTATTAGTTGTATCTCAATCTACAGGTGTTTGTTAGTTAAATATCAATTTACACGTGTTTGTCAGCTGTATCTCAATCTACACGTGTTATTTTGTTGTATCTCAATCCACACGTGTTAGTTAGTTGAATCTCAATGTACACGTGTTTGTCAGTTGTATCTCAATTTACACGTGTTAGTTAGTTGAATCTCAGTCTACACGTGGTTGTTAGTTGTGTCTCAATCTGCACGTGTTAGTTGAATCTCAGTCTACACGTGTTAGTTAGTTTAATCTCAATCTGCACGTGTTAGTTAGTTGTGTCTCAATCTGCACGTGTTTGGTAATTATATCCACTTATCTGTCTGCAGATGACGGCAAGATCACGGATGTGGAGTTCACCATTTTCCTGACACATGTAAGCTGCAGTTACATTATGCGATCTTTCATCCCTGTCCCTCTCAGGGCTGTCAAACTAAGAGAGCCTTGTCAATCACAGAGATCCACTCCACTCCAACGAAGAGATCTCCTCCACTCAAACATAGATATCCCCACAATTCCAACGTAGAGATCCCCACAACTCCAACGTAGAGATCCTCGTAACTCCAGCGTAGAGATCCACTAAACTCCAAAGTAGATCCACTTAACTCCAACGTAGAGATCCCCAAAGCCCCAACGTTTAGATCCACTTAACACCAACGTAGAGATCCTCGTAACTCCAGCGTAGAGATCCCCACAACTCCAACGTAGAGATCCCCTCCGTTCCAACGTAGAGATCCCTGAAACTCCAGCATAGAGATCTCCTTAACTCAAACGTAGAGTTCCACTTAACTCTAAGGTAGAGATCCCCACAACGCAGCGTAGAGATCCCCACAACTCCAGCGTAGAGATCCCCACAACTCCAGCGTAGAGATCCCCACAACTCCAACGTAGAGATCCCGCAATTCCAACGTAGGGATCCACTTAACTCCAACGTAGAGATCCACTTAACTCTAACGTAGAGATCAACTTAAATCCAACGTAGAGATCCCCGCAACTCCAACGTAGAGATCCACTTAACTCTAAGGTAGAGATCCTCGCAACTCCAGCGTAGAGATTCACGAAACTTCAACATGGAGATCCCCTCCACATCAACGTAGAGATCCCTTCAACCCTACGCACAGATCAACTAAACCACAACGTAGAGATCACCTCCAATCAAACATACAGATCCTTGCATTTACAATAAAGCGATCCCATACATTACAAGATAGAAATCCCCGTAACGGCCTGATAGCAATACAGTAAACTACGGTTATAACGAACTCAAGGGACTACTAATTTTAGTTCGTTATAACCGTAATTCGTTATAAGCATATATACAGTATGACCACAGCAAGTAGTCGGGACTAAAAAGTTAGTTCGTTTTTTCCGTGAGTTCGTTATAAGCGTGTTCGTTATAACCGTAGTTTACTGTATATTGATTATAAGTTAGAAAATGGACAGTATAGTGATGCAAGGAAGCAAGACTGACATGCGAGTAACACGTTGCTCGATTAGACGTGGAGATATGCGATCCGAACAACCCCTGTATCCCACGACCTGAACTCTCAACCCTCGGCATAAGAAATGGCAGACTTTTTTATTGATAGGTGTGCAAAAAAAGCATATAGTTGAAAATTGGAAAACAATTACTATGCTGAAAAAAGTCTCCGAAACAATGCAAACCTAGGGTCCAAAACACAACTATGATACACACATAAAATACATCAGCATCGAACAATAATCTCGTGTTCGTTTCATTTTAGCCACCATCACACATGGGTGCATATTCTTTGTTTCCGGCAATGTATTGCAGTGGCTCTGATATTCGTAATATGTGTTTGTTTGTTTGTTTGTTTGTTTGTTTGTTTGTTTGGCTGGCTGGTTGGTTGGTTGGTTGGTTGGTTCTTGTTTAACGCTGCACAAAGCAATATTCCAGCTATATAAGGGCGGTCTGTAAATAATCGAGTCTGGGTCAGACAATCCAGAGATTGACATCATGAGCATCGATCCACGCAATAGTCACCCCTTTGCATTAATTACATATATTCAGGGGCCAAGTTTTATCATATTCGGTTGGATAGGCAGTATGCGAGGTTGTCATGGCTACACTTCCTTTTCATTTGCAGGCCTACAACGAATGTGTGCAGACGCACGGCTAATCTGGCAGAATATCCGGTTCAGTTCTAATCATATGATGTTGTGACTTACAAAATAAACACATATTTCGTGATTTCGTATTAGTGTTATTCGTTGAAAGGAAATGCTAAGACTGCGCAGTCCCTTGTTTTGTGTGGTTATTGGTTCTGGTGGAAAATAGTATCCCATGTGGTTACCATGGTTACCCCACTACTTCCGTTTCAGGCGTACAACGAGTGTGAGGTCACGCACCACCGTCCCGAGTAACCACTTCCGGGTCGAATGCTAGGAAGACGATCGTAGAATAAAGCTGTCCGTCCCGCTAATGGCAAAATGTCGTTACATTGTTGTTACTTTGTTGTAATCTATAACGCCCATTCCTACCAAGTGTTGCCAAGTGTTGCCAAGTGTTGCCAATGCTGCTGGATGCCGTTACTGAGGTCGCAACACAAGCAGCCCCTGTATGGCTGGGGCGGTCGGGTAGCCTCGTGGTTAAAGCATTTGCTCGTCACGCCGAAGACCCGGGTTCGTTTCCCGACATGAGTACAATGTGTGAAACCCATTTCTGATGTCCCCCGACGTGATTTAGCTGGAATATTGCTGAACGTGGCGTAAAACCATACTAACTCTCTCACCTGTTGAGTTGGGTTCAGACGATAGAAGTGCGTGTCACAGTGTCAGGTAGATTGCCATGTACTATGGCATGGATTGTTCACTAAATAACAAATAGGTAGGATAAGGTTCTAAAATAAGGTTAGAGGATATTTCAAGAGCTGTGTTCTTTGTTCCATTCCATGAAACACGTTTTCTTCCTGAACGGAACTGCATTTGGTTTGATTTTAAATTGTCCCTGCTATAATTGTCTCCATCATTCAAAAACGCACTTTTATTTGGCTCCAAAATGTTTCTTATGCTATGCATATGATGAGTGTGATAAAAAGAGTTTGAGAATTATTGCTGAGTCGGCAGAAAAAAAGTGCAACTAAGATTATAAGGATCACATGCTGAATTTCTAGGGTAACTAAAAAAACGCATTTCTCCAATTTTGAACGTGAAGTATATATCCACGTGTTAATGATGCATACTCTCTGACGGATTGATTAAAAGAACCGATTCCTCATTACTATCTTTATACGGGGGCATGGGTGGCCCAGTCGTCTAAGGCGCCGTGATTCGCTGTGCAGAGTTGCGTCCCTTGGGCACGCCAGAAACCTAAGATTGTTGGTTCGAATCCCGGTTCGCCCCGATTATGTTTCTAGGTTTGTCAGCACCATACCCGTGCTCGTGGGTTTCACCGAAGTAGTAAACGTCCGAGACCTGCATCACTTCGGGCTTTCCTCACACATTAAGCTGACACGCCGCGATATAACTGGAATACTGTTAAAAGCGGCGTTAAACTCACTCACTCAGTTTCTTGTATTTTAAACGTAATCAGCTGGTAATAATATGCAAATTAATACCGTAATTCGTATAATAGTATTTAATATTGATTATCGCTTATCAGTTCATTTCATTACAGAAAACAATTCAATCTGATATACTAGTATATCTTGACTAACACTGATTGGCCGACATACATATATCAACTGATGTCCACTGATTTCGATAACCGATTAAATTAAAAGTATATTAATCACATATACCAATAGTAGTATACAATGCAATATTACATTATCATAACATACATTACAGCATACGTTGTGAGCGCTTTCAGAATACAGGTCATATCAAACATATCTATCTGCTTTACCCTGCGTTACGTGTCAGACGAATTAAAGATTCCCAAACACACAGTACAAGAACTAGGTGATGATATTAATGAAACTCGGCCTTGTGTTAAGTCTCAGGCCTACCTTTCCCCGTGGGAGGCGTCATCTGGGACCCCGTATATAAACCTGGGGGTCAGGCCAGAGTGAGATAGACAGACCTTGTGTCAGAAACAGGTAGGTGACAGGTTAAAATGTCAGCAAGTTGTTTTTGCACTGTAGTTTAGTAAACACGCGGCGTGATTTGAAGCGAGTTTTACGCAGTTTTGGGTAATATTTCAATCCATCAGGGTGTGTCCGTTAACCGTAGGAGGGTTCAACGTGATGCATGTCGTAACCGTTTACTTCTTTGGCGACACGGCCGCGTCATACCAGACGTTAAAACATTCTGTAAGATTCTAATACATGGTCATAGGACCCTGACACCACTAAGGGATGCAACTATGCAATGCAAATTATGTCGCCTTAGATAACTAGGTCACCCCTGCCCTCTCATGAATTTAGGGTAGATTGCTTAGTGTTCTGGGTGGTTGTTGAAGATTGCTTTAGCCAAGTTTAGTTCCAGGGTAGGTTTGAGTAGTTATGCATTTCCGACCTCAGTGCCTGTACTCCAGGTTGCAAATGGGACACTCAATTATTTATTTATAACCCTAATGGCTATACTCAAGGTCGGTGAACTGTAACAAAACACTAAATTATGCATTTCCGACCTCAGTGCCTGTACTCCAGGTTGCTAATGGGACACTCAATTATTTATTTATAACCCTAATGGCTATACTCCAGGTCGGCCAACAGTAACAAAACACTCAATTTTGCATTTCCGACCCCAGTGCCTGTTCGCCAGGTCGCAAATAAGACACTCCGTTATTTGTTTATGACCCCCAATGGCTATAATCCAGGTCGGTAAACAGTTACTGTAACAAAACACTCAATTATGCATTTCCGACCCCAGTGCCTGTTCGCCAGGTCGCTAACAAGGCTCTCAATTATTTTTTTATGACCCCCCAATGGCTATACTCCAGGTCGGTAAACAGTGATAAAACACTCATTTATGTATTTGTGACCTCAGTGTCTGTAGTCCAGGTCGGTAAACAATAAACTTACATAATCTCAAGATACACTTAAATCCGGCCCATAAACTACAAACTTCATTATGTCAGCAAACAGTGAATTAACCATCCTGTCTGGCAGATTCCCAGAAGATGCTTAAGATTAGTAAATATTATCTCAGACGAGAGCCGTTACTGTATCTAAACAGCAGATGGCAAGGAGGGAGAGAGATTCTGGCGACGCCTTGGGGAACGTTATTCGGATGCTGTGTTGTTGAGAGAGACTCGTGGGGTGGTCCGAGCATCATGGTGTGGTGTGGAATTGGTCTTGCACAGAGGGTAGGCCCTGTAGCCTTCCAGAACATCGGCCCAGGGAGAAGCAATGGTTTCACAGTAGCTCGGTACATTGATCAAGTCTTGAGATCACACGCCATACCTCATTTGGCACGTCGCCGCAACCACGAGTTTCAGCATGATAACGCCCGTGTCCACACTGCGAGAGCAGCAAGAGACTTCCTCCAGCAGAATGGCATCAGAACCATGCAGTGGCCTGCCCTCAGTCCCGATTTAAATCCCATTGTGCGAGCACCTGTGGGACGAGATTCAAAAACGGCTGAAAAACGCCCGACCAAGGCCGACAACTGCAGCTGAACTGCGTCAGGCGTTCCTCAGAGTGTGGGCTCAAGTGCCTATGGCCTTCATCAACCGTCTCATCCATTCCATGTATCGACTTTGCAGGGCAGTCATCAATGCACATGGCAGACACACGATATTCTGACTTGTGATGCCCTTTTCTCAGAGACTAATGTTGTGCTTCACTTTAAGAACATTTGACACTTTAATTTCAACCTTTATGATCAGTTTTGCAAAGTTTCATCCTTTAGATATGTCTCAAAGTAAGTTTTCAGTGTTTGGACAAAAAAATTCTCACATATCTACCCATGGTGACGTTTCTTTTGAGGTTCAGTATAAATATGTTTTGAATTTGAAATAAACATATTTAGATTGTTATCACCTTTAAGCATGTTTAGAATTTAAACATGTTTAATAAAGTGCATATGATCAGGCTACAGTCAAATATTGATGAGATGTATAATATTTATTGAAAATTGATGTGAAAATTAGATTTACAGTCACTTGCATAACACACATAGCATCAGGTCTTACAAAGAAATTGGTCCAATATAAACATCAAAATATACAAATAAACCAACCAACAAAAGGATGAATTATCGGCCTCTTTCGCCCAAAAAATGACACACTTATGTATTTTATCGTGTCAAAGCCCCAAATTTGCATATGTATGAAAGAAGAAAGACCAATGTCCACCTAAAGTTGCCACTGTTCACATGACGTCCTTGCTTTGCTGCACTGTCCAAGCTGGAAGACAGTGACATTGAAGTCACTAAACACGGTTGATAAGCCAGCTATCTGCAGTCTAACAAAACCGGGATGGGTTTGTGTTTTCTGTGGCGAGGTCAAGGACATTGTGGGATGAGAATGGCCTACTTGTGACATCAGTGGCCCGGATCCCACGTACAATGTGTCATAACATGACCGCCATGTTTGTTTCTCTAGTGGAGGCCGCCATTGTGCAGCCATTGCCTGGGTTAGTCTAGCGCTAACGCAGCATAACCAGAGAACTAGGCTGGACCAGATGTGGGTCCTTTGAACATGTCTGATATTTTCCAGAATGTGTTTTACGTTTCCATTGGGCCAAAAACAGATCTGTTTCTTATTTAAAACTTAAATTTTCGTGGCAGGAAATTCCTTCTTTTTCAACAGTCTGAATCTAACACAGTTTTCTTCAAGAGTTTTCGGGGACAATATATTTTTTCGAATATAGTCCCCACCCCAACATATTACCAAATGGTCGGTCACGATCTTTATTCTTCCAACATATTAATCATCAGAGGAAAACGTCTCAGATCTGCATCAGTCTTGGCCTTCTACCCACGTTAAGCCCAAAAGACGTGGCCTTGTAACGTCATGACAAGAAGTTGTCATTGATAGCGTCATTATCAATTTTTCAATGCCAATCGAAAACATATTGTCCTATACCCTATATATAACGTTTCATGTACTATTTCAATTTTTCAAGAGGTCAATTTTATGTTAGCAATGTTATATAGGTGCACAAGTACAAATAATGAAACACCCAGTGTAAGAAACGTAGAAATGTAACCATTTGGTTTTCAGATGGTACAGGCAGTTTTTAAACATCACCATAGCATATAACGAAGCATTATTAATCATTGACTTTTGTATATGAATCAAATACAGTATTCTCTTTTGTGTTACAGAATCATGCGATCACTGGCAGTCCTTCTTCTCGCCGCGGCGGCTTATGGGTGAGTTCCGAAACGTAATATCATATTACTGTGTATGTTGAGGTACGTTCTGTCCCTCTTCCAGTCAGCTAATGCATTGTAGCCCATCCTGCCATCTCCCAACCGGCTGAATATTATGCCCCTCACAAACAAACCCTTCCGATCAGATTAATACAACCAAAGTAAACATTGTGTAACTCTTCCGTTCAGATTAATACAACCAAAGTAAAACATTTTGTAACCTTCCATTCAGATTAATACAACTAAAGTAAAGCATTATGTAACTCTTCCAGCTAGCTTAATACAACAAAAGTAAAGCATTATGTAACTCTTCCAGCTAGCTTAATACAACAAAAGTAAAGCAATATGTAACTCTTCCAGCTAGCTTAATACAACAAAAGTAAAGCAATATGTAACTCTTCCAGCTAGCTTAATACGACCAAAGTAAAACATTATGTAACTCTTCCAGCTAGCTTAATACAACAAAAGTAAAGCATTATGTAACTCTTCCAGCTAGCTTAATACGACCAAAGTAAAGCATTGTGTAACTCTTCCAGCCAGCTTAATACGACCAAAGTAAAACATTGTGTAACTCTTCCAGCCAGCTTAATACGACCAAAGTAAAACATTATGTAACTCTTCCAGCTAGCTTAATACACCTAAAGTAAAACATTTTGTAACCTTCCATTCAGATTAATACGACCAAAGTAAAACATTGTGTAACTCTTCCAGCCAGCTTAATACGACCAAAGTAAAACATTGTGTAACTCTTCCAGCTAGCTTAATACAACAAAAGTAAAGCATTATGTAACTCTTCCAGCCAGCTTAATACAACCAAAGTAAAACATTGTGTAACTCTTCCAGCCAGCTTAATACGACCAAAGTAAAACATTGTGTAACTCTTCCAGCTAGCTTAATACAACTAAAGTAAAACATTTTGTAACTCTTCCAGCTAGCTTAATACAACAAAAGTAAAGCATTGTGTAACTCTTCCAGCTAGCTTAATACACCTAAAGTAAAACATTTTGTAACCTTCCATTCAGATTAATACGACCAAAGTAAAACATTTTGTTACTCTTCCAGCCAACTTAATGCAACCAAAGTAAAACATTATGTAACTCTTCCAGACAGCTTAATACAAGCAAAGGAAAACATTTTGTAATTCTTCAAACCAGCTTGATACAGCCAAAGTATAACACCATGTAACTCTTCCAGCCAGCTGAGCAACCCAAAGTGCATCCACAGCAACACCATGAAACACACCGCTGACGTCGTCGTCCAGCAGGCACTCAAAGACATGGACTCCAACAATGACGGCATCGTCGAAGACATGGAAATCCTCAACGAGTTCGTTACAAACTTCGATCACGACGGTAGGTTATGTTCAATACACATTGAAAATTCTTTGTTGAACCTATTTTAATCGCATGACATGTTTTTCAACGTTTCACCATACCCGTGTTGATGGGTTTGTCAACGCCATACTCGTGTTCCTGGGTGTGTCAGCACCATCACTGTGTTGAGGGAGTTGTCAACTCCATACCAGTGCTCGTGGAGTTCACCACAGTAGTTAACAGCTAACACTTGCATCATGTCTGGCTTTCCTCCCACATGAGCTGACACAACTTGTTACAATTGAAGACCCGTGAAGATCCGGGGTAGAATAGGTCTTCAGCAACCCATGCTTGCCGTAAAAGGCGACTATGCTTGTCGTAAGTGGCGACTAACGGGATCGGTTGGTCAGGCTCGCTGACTTGGTTGATGCATGTCATCGTTTCCCAATTGCGTGGATCGATGCTCATGATGTCAATCTCTGGATTGTCCGATCCTGACTCGATTATTTACAGACCGCCGTCATATAGCTGGAATATTGCGGCGTTAAACAACAAACAAACATGATACAACCGCCATACTCTTCAAAGTGGCTTTCAACTCTCTCACTAACAGTCGTCCGATTCCATCTCACAGGTAGTCTGTCCATCTCCAAGTCTGAGTTTGTCAAACAATGGCATGCCACCTACCACGACGCTCCCGATTTCGCCGCCTTCATCTTCACCAAGTTCGACACTAACGGCGACGGCAGCCTTGGCCTGTTTGACGTAATGGGGCTGAAGGGCAAGGTCGACATCAACCGTGAGTCCTGGGCATTTTGATGTCATCTATTAGGGCTTTGATAATTAGTATTTCGTCCCAGTTCTAAGGGTACAGTTTTACAGTTTTCATTAGTTATCTCCCCTACACGGACGCCAATGTGTTTTGATTCAATAAAATTACCCAATAATTAGGAACCGTTAAATTCATATAAACCACCTAAAGTTTCATAATCTACACTGTTAAAAAACAAACACACAGGTTGATTTTTTGTAAATTTATTGTACCTAATAAAGTCGATATATTTTATTTAATATCATAGATACAAATATTAAATTTTGGAGCTCTATAGTCACATGTTGTCGTTGTACAAAGGCATTGAAAACTGTTCATTGTCATGTCACATAAAGCCACTAGGTTGCGCTGAACTTAGTATCTTGTGTGACCGCCCCGGGCAGCAGCACGGCTCTGCATCTCCTCGGCACGTGCATTTTGCTTTTGTTTTCCTCCATGACATTTTCTTAACAAGTGTGAAAGACATGATTGCAAATCGACAATGGCTACGTTTTGACGCACCTTTTGTCGAATATCGGCTACCAACATTTTCCAATAACATATATATAATCTCTATACCGGATTGTTTGTGTAGTCAGGTTCAGTGAAGTACATACTACCTGTGCGTTTCTTTTTTTGAAGAGTGTACTTCAAAATATGAAACTTCAAATACCCTAATAACAAAAATACGTAGAAACATGTCCTTAAGTGCACAAAGAACATTTTATGTTAGGACGAAGAATGGACACCAAACCCAGGACCACATACATAGTGTATCATCTTGGTAAAGTGGGGGCACGGGTGGCTCAGTCCTCTAAGGCGCCGCGATTCGCTGTGCAGAGTTGTGTCCCTTGGGCACGCCAGAAACCTATGATTGTGGGTTCGAATCCCGGTTCGCCCCAATTATGTTTCTAGGTTTGTCAGCACAATACCCGTGCTCGTGGCTTTAACCACGAGGCTACCCGACCGCCCCAAACTGTGCAAGGGTCCACGCAGTCATGAATGTGTTATGCATGAATAGGAATGACATAGTTGTCTCCCTTTACAGATGACGGCAAGATCACTGACGTGGAGTTCACCATTTTCCTGGAAAACGTACGTAATAATAATAATATTAATAATAATAATAATAAACGATGACGACGACGATGACGACGACGACGACGACGACGACGATGATGATGATGATGATGATGATGATGATGATATCGCTGCCTTCATTAGTCGGCGAAATCGGTGGGTCTTAAGTCCAACACTTCCGGTCTTGCATATAGCCCGTATTTTATACTGTATAAATAATATTTTTGTGCCCAAATATGTTTGACAGATTTGGTTTCCAATATAACTTTGTATTCATAACTCACTGGGTAGATATTTATTTGTTCTCGTCGCCATATGGCTGACATAATGCCGATGCAACGCTAAGTTTTAACACACTCACTCACTTCCGGTCTTCATCCAGGCTTACAACGAGTGTGTCCAGACTCACCAGGCTCCCGTCTGAGAAGATCGTCATGTAGCCTTCTGACAAATAAATGTTTCAAACCTACTTGTCAACATGTTACTTACACTTTCCCTACAAGTACTAGTATGAATTCAACACCACGTAATTATTGTATAAAATCATTGCATGATAATTATCATTCATAAACAGGACAGTACACTGTTGGAAATAGCTATCTGCCTGTCTATCTATCTCTCTATCTATCTATCTATCTATCTATCTATCTATCTATCTATCTATCTATCTATCTACCTATCTGCCTGTCTGTCTGTCTATCTACCTATCTTCCTCTCTGTCTATCTATCTGTCTATCCGTCTATCTATCTATCTGTTGAACTTCATTATGTAATCAACATGGGACAAACATTCTTCCTCCTTCATTAGATATTGAACAACGGAAATGCTTAGGGTTTTCTTGATTATGCAATCAACATAGACAATACATACTGTTTCTTTCTACTCTAACATGCACAAGAAAGTGCAAAATATTCCTTATTTTGCTATTTCGCTACGTCACACAGACTGGTCACATCTCTCTGTACTCAGTGCACAGTTCTCGTTCATGGTCAAAACGTTTACACATAACAGGCACAGCACTTCAGGCCTTGCCACGTTATGTTACAGAGGAACTTAGGTAACATTGGCTCATACGCCTATCTACATTAAGATAGAAGCGGTTTAACTTCGCGTTTAAGAGTTTTGTTTGTTTGTTTGTTGTTTAACGCCGCACTCAGCAATATTCCAGCTATATGACCGCGGTCTGTAATTAACCGAGTCTGGACCGGACAATCCAGTGATTGACATCATGAGTATGGATCTACGCAATTGGGATACGATGACATGCATCAACCAAGTCAGCGAGCCTGACCACCCGATCCCGTTAGTCGTGTCTTACGACAAGCATAGTCGCCTTTTACGGCAAACATGGATTTCTGAAGACCTATTCTACCCCGGATCTTCACAGGTCCGCGTTTAAGAGTATTGCAATAATATGATGACGTGTGAACGGCTGCTTGTATATATATCAATAATTTTGGTTCATATTGGCTGTATTGCCAATAAGATACGTGGTTGTGGAATACTAGTGTCAAATACTGGCTTATTGTGTCATATTTGTGTATATCATTCTTACGCACGGACTTCTTGCACCACGTGGCCTCTGATAGATATATTTGGGTATTGAAAGCGACGCTGATGGGGGCGGGGATGATTATATATATTCAACCTCATTTGAGGATCCTGAATCTGCCGAGAGATACGAGTCTATGATATCTGAAACTTTGGAAGCCCAAACACAAGGATGACAGTGTTTGTGAATGGCGTGACTTTTGCCGTACCAATCAATTTTGTTGTCACATTTACTTCTGTTGACCCGAGATTACGTTTGACAAAGTGGAGTCCAATTGCTTTGGCTCGAGATATTCAAAATCATTGGCGATGAGGAGCACATTTAAATATGCAAAAGGGTGATTTGGTGACACACTGCAAGATGGCGGGTCAACTTAACCTTGCACTGAATGTAGCATCTATGCATCTGTGACTTTCGTGTCAAGAGTTCGATCTCAAAGAGTCTTGGTGAATCTGAGGGAGTTATTTACAATGTTGAATGTGGATGAGATAGTTGAGCAATTCAAGGGTCAAAAGGTCAAACATGCTCAACCACTTATGCATGGAATGGAAAAGAAAGGGAGATAACTACGTCAATCCGTCTTACATTTTCAACCCACACTTGCCTGACCGTGTCAGGGTGTATTATCAGTCCTTTCACCTCTACATCCCACCAGCTATCAGAAATTGGACATGTGGCAACTCGATGCATACAAAAATAAAAGGCATATATGCCCTAGGTGCAGTGGTGAGGACAAAATAGAAAACTGTGTTCGGAAAATATTTCCAGATGTTGTAATTGTGGAGGTAACCACAGTACTGCGTATTCAAGAATTCAAGGAGGCAGTGTCTGTGAAAAAGGTACGAGTAGAGAATAAAATCTCTTTTGTTGAAGCAAATCGTATGGTTAGGTCCACATCAACCCTATCCTATACTGCTGCTGCTGCTGCTGCTGCTCAGAATTCAAAATCCAATTCTTTACAAGCCATTAAAACAAGAATCCCGCCCTGTTCTTGTCACCTCTAGATCAGGGTCCAACCCTAAATGTGTTTGTAAATGTAAGCCACAAGTGTCAGAATCAAATACTCCTGTGACAGCTCAAGTCACACTCCACAGGTAGCCAGTCCCATCCTTGGTACTTTCCCTGAAGCCTTTCTAGCGTCCTTGTTGGAGGTGATTGCCGGATGCTTAATGCAACTACCAAGGAAGATCAGTCCAATCGCCTTGTTTCAGCGGCAAAATGTTATTTGTGTACAGGAAACTTTTCTTTGGCCAGGGAGTCATTTCAGAATTAATGATTATCTTGGTCTTCGACAGGATTGACTATGGGGGCATTATAACAACCAATCGGAATACCAAAAAAGGCGGTTGTGCTATATTTATTAAATCTGATCTGTCGTATATGGTTCACAAATTACCAAAAACAGTGTGTGAGGCTAATGCAGTAAAAATTCCTTAAGTCAAACCGTTTCTATTGTTAACATACTCACCGCCAAAAGACACGCGAACATAGAAACATATAGAGAAGTATGCACGTTAAGAGAGCTCTTCTCCCATGTGTACCAATTAATGACAAAACTAACAATCAGTCAAGTGTTACCACAGAGTGTCCTTATTCTTTCCAAATTTAACACGCTAATCTTGCACGAGACAAAGGGTGCATCTCGAGTCACGGATCTATGACGTCACATATGATGCGTTCATGATCATCGGTTCACACAACATAACAGTATGTTCGTTTGCGCATCGAACCAATCTAATATGTCTTGAATGTGAGTAAGTCTTCATATATTAACCAGCAGATGTGGTTTTTCGCGTTTCTTTTGTCGGTGAGTATATTCATAATACAGGTAAACCAAACCTAGATGAATATCTGAAATAAGTTGATCCCAATGAAGGCCCTTATTTTATATGTGGGGATTTTAACAGCCACAAACGGATTACAATGGTCAAACAGTTAAACCCTTTTTGGATGAAACAGACCTAGTCCTATAAATATGATGGCAAAACGACCCGCATAGAACTCGGCAAATGGACCTTTTCACCTTTAGAACTCTCGATGATATCCTCATTAACAGCCAGCAAAGACAACTGGGATGTATTCAAGAAGATGCGCTAAGTAGTGACCATTTCCCCTTTTTTCTGAAATTCGGGTCCTGACACCTTGGTGATTCTTATGATAATGTCCCTCGGTGGAAGTTCAAGAAAGCTAAATGGGCACTTTTTCTTGTATGGAGCTCTGAACACATCAAATCTGATCTTATAAATGGTGATGTTGATATGTCAAATGGAAATGTCAAAACTCAAATAATTAAAATTGCGGAAGAGACCACTGGAAGAGCACCTGTGAAAAAAAATGGCATTCTCTCCAATGCCTTGGTGGAATGACAAATGTGAAAAGGCCAACGTCGCAAGAACAAAAACATACAATGAGGTTTAAATTGTCACTCTTCACTACCATGTGATTTAGCTGACTTTCGTAAAAAAAACAAGCCATGTTCCAGCGTATTGTTGATAGGCTGGCGAGAATATGTTTTTAATATCAATTGATTATCACCATTAACCAATATCTGGTCCAGGGTGAAAACGATCAGTGGAACTAATATTTGATCGTCTTTACCGGTAATTGGTGAGTGTGAGTTGGGTTTAACGCCGATTTTAACACTATTCCAGTTATATCACGGTGTGTCAGCTTAATGTGGGAGGAAAGCCCGAAGTGATGCAGGTCTAAGACGTTTACCACTTCGGTGAAACCCACGAGCACGGGTATGGTGCTGACAAACCTAGAAACATAATCGGGGCGAACCGGGATTCGAACCCACAATCATAGGTTTCTGGCGTTCCCAAGGAACGCAACTCTGCACAGCGAATCGCGGCGCCTTAGACGACTGGGCCACCCGTTCCCCCTGTAATTGGAGACTCTGGAGAATTACAAAAAGTCAGAAAGCAAATGTTCTTGCAGAAGAATTTGAATTTGTCACAGAATACATGGGAATGAGATCGTCGATCATTTTGGCCAAAGCTTGCCCACTTCGCACTTAAACCATGATGTTACCACACCGCAACCACCAGACTTTTATGATGAGGTTACTCCCTTGCTTCGGGAGGTGAGGTGGGGTGAAATGGGGTTTAACGTCGCGTCCAAGATTATTGCACTTATATAGCGTGTGTGGCTGCTTGTACTAATCCGGACTGATGCCGATTTATAGTGCTAGCTCACTGAGATACCATGCCGCAGTTTAACATGAATACCCCACTCAGATACAGTATACTGACTCTGAACCGACCAGTCCTTGTTTGAGCCCCTTAATGCCGAGCGCCAGACAGGGTAACAACAAGTACCATCTTTTAACGTCTTTTGGTATGACGCGGCCGGGGATCGAACCCCTGACCATCCGCTCTCCGGGCGGACGCTCTACCATTAGACCACGGAGGCTCTTGCCTCGGGAAGATGCAGAGCTTACGTCTTTTAACCTCTCCCAGCATTCCAGAGAATCAAAAGCGCCTGACAGGTGCGTGAATTTGACGACGTAATGCTTATTATCTTACATTCCACATGCATGTCGGATTCTGACTGGCTGAGACCAATTTTATTATTTTCATTGTACCCAGCTGACATGTAAGTTACATTTTTATGTTTCCCACTCGAATTGCCGACCTGTTGACATGACATTGGCAACATAACCTCAATTTTGTATCTCGAATTAAATATGTAAGACGGCATTCTGGATAATTACGATATTTTCCGAATGAACTAGATCTAAGGGGAATAATTCTAAGTTTGTTTAGCAGTGGATAAATGCCTAACTGTGATATTCTTACCGATTCAAAGCATGTAGGCATAAGACATACCTACAATGTAATTAGGTGTGCGGTAAGATAAAATAACTAACATAGAGTACATCAACCCATGTCCCCCTCGAGACCGATGGACAACTTATAATATACATAGTGTGGTGGGTAGGCGTCCTTTTAAACTTTTAGTGCACAGCAATGACTTCTGACAATAACATAATGGACTGAATGTAAAGTTTATGTTTGTCTGTGCCAAAATTAGCCAAGGTTATGAAACATGCGCTATAATTAGCTGAACAAAATAGTTTTATCTTGTAAAGGGAATGATAATAGCTATCTGAACAAAAGTGTCGTCTTTCATTTGGGGCGATGAAATAATCAAGTAGGTAAATCACGCGCTTGTCGCGCCTGAAACCCGCCCACCCTTGCATAACATTGCTGTACTGCCATGGCAGGCTGTGTCTCCTGGCCTCTTCCCCATGAAAACATGTCTGTGATAGGATAGGATAGGATGACGCCTCCGACAGGATCAGAACCAGCCGATATCACAATCTCAGTTGGGCCAGTCTTTGACTGACATTTGAAACAACATCTCCAAGGCTGTTTTCAATAATCTGCAGTCACTGCCTCGCCTGTAGGCATGTTGTTCCGCCACCCCCGTTTAAGGACGTGTCATATATGGGTTTTGTCAATGTCATTTATTAATATGATAAAACATTGATCAGACGAATTACCAAATATTAGTTTCAATAACATAATATTCACACCACTTATGAAGCACAGTTATTTTTCGTCAATACACCAGTATATAAATTTAGAAGTGCGGTCTGTCCCTCTTCCAGTCACGGAATGCATACATTGCAGAACAATCAAGGCTCAATTAAATTTACTCAAATAAACTGATTTAATCGCAAAAATATCAATAAGTAGTCTCTGTATTATCCATTTCTTATGGCCCATCTCGTATTTCACTCCACGTCTCAAGGCCAACACGGCAAGGTTGTTGCGTCCCTTGGTTGAAGATAGGACGATAAGAGACCATCAGCTGGATCAATCATCCGACCATGGGAAGTGACCATGTGCGTGACAATCTGTGCCACATATTCAACTACACTGAGAACATTTTTCCAGCTTGGTGATCAGGTTTTGTACTTTTTTGCGATAAATAATTATAAAAGCTGTAAATTCCTTCACTGCAAACTGACGTTACACTATCCGAACAATTGTGGTCTTCGCTCAAAGTGTGGTAAATATGATAAAGACCTTTAAACGTAATTCTAGATGCTTTGAGATGTGACTGTGGATGCTTTGATTTCTTGACTTCATCATTTACAGACAACTCAGCAGTGTAGTACCGGTACTCCTTGACAATGTTCCTCGTTATAACGCTTCTCCTGGCTGTTGGCGTGTACGGGTGAGTGGTTAATTAGGTTTATAACGAGCATATTATGTAAATGTGTGTTTTTTTGTTTGTTGTTTGCAATATTCCAGCTATTTAACGGCCTGTAAATAATTGAGTCTGAATCAGACAATCAAGTGATCGATATTATGAACAACGATCCGTACACCGTCGGGGTAGGATGACTCGCTCTCAACCAAGTCCCCGAGCCTGTAAATTGCCTCTTATGGCCAGAGTAGGGGTGGGGTGGGGTGGGGTGTGGGTGTGGTGGGGTGTGTGTGTGTGTGGGGGGGGGGGGGGGCTATATTCTTGTCCGGAATCCCCACGGGGGACGTGTATATGAAGCATTTAACGAGATGTGTGAATTAGTAGGTACAAGGGTTGATTGGTACTTACTAAGTCTCACATTAGGAATTGCGTGATAGTGTAATCTTTTGATGGCGATTTGAGGGAGTCCGTACCACTCCTCTTGTAGGGCCCGGCCACGTTCCAACGTGGCCGGCGACCAATGACGCTGACGCTCACGTCTCCCCATCATGTCTCTGACGTGTCCAATGGGGGAAAGGTCGGGTCCCATTGCTGGCCCTGACATTTTATGCATGTTGAGCTGCTGTAGGTGAGCATTAGCGATTCATGCACGGGCGTTGACCTCGTGATAAACAAAACGTCGACCCACACGCCTTGCAAAGAGTGTCAGTATGTTGTCCCGATAGTACTGTCATGTGACCCTTCCTTGCAGAATTTGGAGTGGGGTTCGGTCAATCATAGTGATGCCAGACGGACAGACAGACAGGTTTATTCAGTATTATGGCCATATGGCCTAAAGTACAATTGATACTAACTCATAATATGATGTCACGTGCATATACAGAAATTACATCTTCATGAATCTGATAAAAAAAACATGCTTTATATAAGTAGCCACTGAAAAGATAACATGTTTATTTTGTGAGTTTTGCTTTTAAAGCTTGAATAGCAAGTTGTTTACATGCTACTGACCACATTAATTTAGAAGAAAACAGGATACCCAAATATTTATAGTATGTTTCAACCTTGACCGAAGCATTTCCATAAGTCCACTTTTCCTTTTTGGCAACAATACCACCATTTCTAAAGACCATTATGTTTGTTTTATTTAAATTTACCTCCAGCCCCCATTTCAAACAAAATGATTGTAATACATTTAATTGTTTTTTGTAAACCGCTTACTGCAAATGAAAACATTACAAAACATTGCAAACAATAGCATCATAACATCAACAATATCTTCATGGACAAATATACCATAATTACTTGGTTAATGAATTTCAATAACAAGTTCATTGATAAAGAAAATGAACAAAACAGGACTCAAAAGACCCCCCTGTCTCACACCTCGGGAAGTTGAAAAACAATCTGTTTTTCCCATGACAAACCTTGATTACAAGTAGATACAGTAACTTTTGCCTTTCCACAAAATCTTAAAATCAATGAAAGCACACTAAAGCGTCCCTTCGGTTTGCGTTTATATTTCGAGCACAGTGACTGTAAAATGTACATATTATCTATGGTAGAATAGTTAGAGCGAAAACCACCGAGCGATGCCACCCCACGCCATGACCGATCTAGCGCCAAATAGGTCATGAGGTCTCAGGTTGACGTTCACTTCGACGTCGCTTGATACGACCACGCCTCTCAAGGAAGTGCAGACTGAATCGGAACCAGTGACGATTACCCCAGTTGACGTTGTGTACACCATCGACGTGTGTTGGCAATATGGCGATTTGTAGGGGGCGGCACAACACGTGGCTGTCCAGCATGGAGACGAACTGTATGGAGACGATGTCTAATCGTCTGACCCGTTATTCATACTCCAGTAGCCTAATGAAAGTTTGCAGCAATTTGATTCGCTGTTTGAGCTCGATTTCGTACAGTCTGCATTTAGATCAATCGATCTTGTGCTCTTGTCGTTGACCTTGGACGCCCTAAACGGGGTCCATCGTCAACATTTTGGGTTTGTTGGTACCCGTTCTATAGTCTACTAATCACAGACTGAGAAACATTGAACTTTTTGGCGACTGCACGCTGACTGATGCCAGTTTCCAGCATGGCAGCAGCCCACTGGCTCTCCGCGCGTTGCCATCTTCCCGAGGCAAGGGAGTTCCCACCCTTGCGGAACTAGGCTGTAATTATGGAGTTACTTTTCGGCTGGACTAACCAGTCTATGCATAGTCCAATCAAAATCAAACTTCACATCCGGTTCGTATACGACATGGATTTCAACGTGCAGATTTCGGTCGACGGGTATTTTGCAAATCTTTTCAAGCTTTTAATCAAGGTACTCACATGATTTGATGCACTTCGCGGGGTAAGACCCGTTTTATTACAATATAGATCTTGATTATCGATAAGATCGCCCTGGACCCGTGAAGATCCGGGGTAGAATAGGCCTTCAGCAACCCATGCTTGCAGTAAAAGGCGACTATGCTTGTCTTGAGAGGCGACTAACGGGATCGGGTGGTCAGACTCGCTGTTATCGATCCCAATTGCGTGGATCGATGCTGATGATGTCAATCACTGGATTGACTGGTCCAGACTCGATTATTTACAGACCACCGTCATATACCTGGAATATTGCTAAGTGCGGCGTTAAACAACAAACAAACAAACAAATAAGATCGTCTTGGCTGGGCGCCGCCATTTTGTTTGAAGTAAATGTAAGTGATATGAGAGATGGAATCAGATTGGTCAATAGGAGGGACATTGAAGGGACATAACTCGTAACAGCCACTGGTGTCGCTTGATTCGAGCCTGGAAATTACAGCCTCATACACAAACAATGAATGAAATCAAGTATATAACAAGTGTAAGATAAGCAGAATCAATAAGATTGACAAGAATAATGGTCCACAGAAATAAATCAACTTTCCTTGAACGTGTCAAATTAGGAATGACACCCCAAGCACACGTGTGGCGCTACTGCGTTTTACAGACGAAGACTTCAACGTTCTTGCATAGGATGTTTGTCGTCAACACTTATCTTTGTTCTAATACTTGGTATTAATATTTATATTTCATGTTACCCTAATTTTTTAAACAGTATATGATAATGCGTCATGCATGCTTTCATACACTGCACTACATACACTACTAACATAACGCATCATGCATGCTTTCATACACTGCCCTACATCCACGCCTAATATAATAATGCGTCATGCATGTTTTTACATACTGCACTACATACACTACTAATATAATGCGTCATGCATGCTTTTATATACTGCACTACATACACGCCTAATATAACGCATCATGCATGCTTTTATATACTGTACTACATCCACGCCTAATGTAATGCGTCATGCATGCTTTTATATACTGTACTACATACACGCCTAATATAATAATGCGTCATGCATGTTTTTACATACTGCACTACATACACTACTAATATAATGCGTCATGCATGCTTTTATATACTGCACTACATACACGCCTAATATAATAATGCATCATGCATGCTTTCATATACTGCACTACATGCACTACTTATATAATGCGTCATGCATGCTTTCATATACTGCACTACATCCACACCTAATATAATGCGTCATGCATGCTTTTAAAAACTGCACTACATACACTACTAACATAATGCGTCATGTATTTTTTTATATACTGCACTACATGCTCTACTTATATAATGCATCATGCATGTGTCCTATAATGCACTATATGCACCACCGCAAAACAAAGATCTTTCGACATCCCATTACTTTACCCGACCAATGAAATGACTAACATGAAGTTGACATTAGCCAATCAGAAAGCAGCTCATACGACACTAGTTTCAAAGTGGCGACAAGGCTTTGAAAAGTATTTTGACAAAGGTCTCGATTCGAAATTCGAAAACTGAACAAAAGAACCTTCTGAAATGTCCATTAGATGGCCTTTCCGTTCAAATATTTATTCCATTAACGCGAGAGATGATTTTGACGGATTCGTTAAAGCCCGTAACTGTAGTTCGGAATACCCCATGTTAACCTTTTCGAGGTTTCATGATTAGAAAACGCTTTCCGACTGTCACTGTTATGATCTGGTGAGCGAGACTCTGATTTCCTAAAGAAGATCGTTCTGACGTGACCGTTATGGGATGTCCTCAGATCTTTGTTTAGCGGATCTTTAACTAAGATCTGGCCTTACTGAGATTGCAACATGATGTCAGTTTTGAAGTATGTCCAGGTCCACATGTCTGTACATATCTCCCCTCCACAGTCAGGATCCACAACACTGCATCCACAGCAACGTGGACAGTCTGGCAGCTGACAACGTCATCGAGAAGGTCGTTGCTGACGCTGACATTAACGGCGACCATGAACTCTCGCCCCTTGAGGTCATTATTGAGTTTATTGGCAAGTTTGATGCAAATGGTAAATATATGGATATCTTTATTAACTACACGAATCAGACGTTTTGCTTACAACATTGTACTCGTGTGCCTTTTTTACCATCACACAGCCCACTCTGAACAAAACGGAGGGTGGTAGATAGTTTAAGACACAATTGTTTTGATCAGAATTTTGAATTCCTGTGGTACTCCTGTCGCCAACATTCGGTGATAACAGTTCTTTCAGTGGCATTTAGAAGTTGGTGTGATGAAGAAAGACAAGTTCTATGGATGAACATCACTTGCTTGATAAAGGTGTTAGGATCTACACCGAAACGTCGCACTAATTGTAATAAAGAAGTTGTTCATCCATAGAACTTGTCTTTCTTCAACAGAAATTAAGACAAAAAACAACCTATATTGCTGTTGCTTGTGGATATTGAACGGCTTTGCAACTGATACTGTAGTGTACAATAACACTAAACTGGTATCTTTTTGAGATATAAAAGATGATATGTCCTAATTATTATTTGTTTTCCAGCCGATCTTTGCTGATATGTACTCGTCTGAAGTCAATCCCATAGTCACTAGAGGGGCAAGTGTGTCCCAGTTGGCCAAGGCTTTCATCACACCTCAAGTTGACACACCGTGATGTAACTGTTCAAAGCGGCGTTAAACCCAACTCACTCACTCACTTCAACAAAAACAGGACTTGTGTGAGATCATGTTCTGATCACTCACTAGTCAAGTGATATGAACACCAGCGTTTAATTCCATAGTGATTCCATTGTTAACCGGTTTAACTGACCTGGTTACCCGAGAAGATCATGGGTAGAATTGGTCTTCAGCAACCCATGCTATCTATCCGTAAGAGGCGACTATGCTTGTCGTTAGAGGCGACTAACGGGATCGGGTGGTCAGGTGCGCTGACTTGGTTGATGCATGTCATCGAATCCCAATTGCGTGGATCGATGCTCATGGTGTCAAGCAGTGGATTGTCCGGTCCAGACCGCCGTCATATAGCTGGAATATTGCTGAGTGCGGCGATTAACTACAAACAAACAATTGTCCTGGTTGAGTGTGTTAGTATGGTTTTACGCCGCTTTTAGCAATATCAGGGGGTGGGGGGCACCAGAAATGGGCTTCACACATTGTACCCATGTCGGGATTCCAACCCGGGTCTTCGGCGTGACGAGCGAACGCTTTAACCACTAGGCTACCCGACCGCCCTGTCCTGGTTTACAAACAGGATAACACATGGAACCATATATATTCATGAATTTACTTTCTACCTCCAGGGGACAGTATGATCACAAGGAGCGAGTTTGTTGCAAAATGGCACGCGTTATACCGTGACGTTCCGGACTTTGCCGACTACATCTTCCAGCATCTGGACCAAACGAACGATGATTTCCTCGGACTGTTTGACTTCGTTCCTCTCCAGGCCATTATGGACCTGGACCGTGAGTAGTCTTCCAGTAAATAAATGAAAATAATATTTAATGTCAGGTTTTACACAAAATTAATATTGTTCACTGGAGACGCTGGTAGTCCACATCAAAGTGTTATCTATGTCGTGCTATCCTCCGTTTCTATGACTACCTTCTACATCAAGATGTTATCTATGTCGTGCTATCCTCCGTTTCTATGACTACCGTCTACATCAAGGTGTTATCCTCCGTTTCTATGACCACCGTTCACATCAAAGTGTTATCTATGTCGTACTATCCTCCGTTTCTATGACTACCTTCTACATCAAGATGTTATCTATGTCGTGCTATCCTCCGTTTCTATGACTACCGTCTACATCAAGGTGTTATCCTCCGTTTCTATGACTACCGTCTACATCAAGGTGTTATCTTTGTCGTGTTTTTATTACTACCATCTACTGCCATGGTCTATCTATGTCATGGTATCCACTCTACTTAAGTTTGTTGTTTATTCGTGATTTGCCTGTTGTTTCTTTCCAGATGACGGCAAAGTGTCGGACGTTGAGTTCACTATATATTTGACCCACGTGAGTATCAACACACAACCTCAATCCTTTAGTGTAATTTGGGAGACGGGTCGCCCAGTCCTCTAAGGCGACGCAATTTGCTGCGCATCCTTTGGGGACGCCAGAAATCTATACTTGTGGGTTCGAATCCCGGGTCGCCAAGATTACGTTTCTAGGTCTGTCACCACCATACCCGTGCTTGGGTATAAGCGTGTCAAGTCCAGTTGTCGAAGAAAAGGTGAAACACACCCGCAAATCAGGAAATACATCAAGATTATCTCATAATTCACGGTTTATGGAAGAAAGTTGTGATGCAGTAAAATGGATCATTAAATGTTATCAATAAGCGATTATTCCAAGGACTGCTTAATCCCCAAATAAGACTGGATTGTATGGCTGTGGCGTGTCAGGCAACAAAACATTAAATTTCTTAGGTAAACTGTGCGAGTGGCGGGTGCTGCCGGTAGGGCAGGACATGCCTAACCCTTGGCCAGAGCCTTGTGTCATCACTGATTTTCGGTGATCTATTCATATAAGTTTCACTACTTTGTCATCTTTTACGCCCAATGGAAGTTGTTTTGGCAGATAATCGAGGTGTATTATTCTCTGGCGTCGACGTTTTATGTGTACATTGCTGTAATGTCTTTGAGTGAGTGAGTGAGTGAGTGAGTGAGGGAGGGAGGGAGGTTACTCTTGGTGCCTAGAAACCAAAGTGACCGCCAGTTGGGCAGGAAGACGTCCTTTCCATCAGAGACCATATACCGGTTTCCATTTAAAAAAAGTTGTGAGGGATTTTTTTTGTTGCGAGTCAGCAGCTTTTCAATGTTGAATTTCTCGCCAATTCTATCGTAATCAATGGGTCTGGCCGCCATGTCGATGCTATCGCCAACATTGCGGCTGGCTTCTAACTCGCATTTTGATTGGTCCATTGGACTGAGTAGTGTAACAAATCAGATTGGCTAATGAAAATCAAGGACAGGTAATTTGAGATCGCGAGAATTTGGATCCAGGAGTGTAGTATAGGTTTACCGAAATGCGGAGCCTGGAGATACAGACGATGCGTACTCAGGGAATAATGTTACAGTCGGCGTAACCCAGGAACACAATACGTTTGGTAGATGATGTGCAGGCTGTGAATTGTCGCCATGTTGTTTCAGCTGTATCAAGACTGTGTGCCATTCTCACATCAAGACACTGCCTGAGCGTCCTGTGACGTCACTTCCGGTGTGGACAACAGTTTCATTATTCATGCCTCAGTATTTCATATAGAAAGTTGAAATAAAATATAGGTTCAGTACCATGTGAGCTTTTCTTATTTCTGTACTGTACTGCTTTAGGCTTTAGGCAACATACACATACCGTACTTCCTCTATTAGACGCCGGGAATCTAAAAGACGCCGGCCTCTAATAGAACCCGGGTCAATTGTTCAGTGTAAAATAGAAGCCGGGCCTCTAATAGACGCCGGGTCGATCAATTGATAAAATTAATGATCCCTTTTTGGGACCTAAATTACATAATGAGGACTCAAAATATTTCCATTTCGTGACGATTCGGGACATTCGTGGTCATAGTGAAATGGGGGTATTAATAGAAGCCGGGCCTCCAATAGACGCCGGGCCTCTAATTGACGCCGGGCCTCTAATTGACGCCGGGTCAAGGCTTGTCCGAAATAAATAGAAGCCCGGGCGTCTGATGGAGGAAATACGGTACATATTTTTGCAAATGATTTATTGTCTGAGTGACGAGGGCTACCAGTAGGGCAGGGCATCCTTACCTTTATCACAGGTTTTCAGGAGTCCACTATATAATGTTCACACGACTTTGTCTTTTACGCTCAGTGGAATTTGTTTCGGTGGATAATTGAGACTGGTTTTTCTCTGGCACTGACGTATTATATTTACATACAAAAATTGACCATTACGTCATTGTGAGTTGGTCAACCGAGTGTTTTGATGAATGACGAATGGTTATCAGTGGGGATGTATTGATATATGAAGGTTATCATGTATATTGAGTAGTATATGTCTCCACGCTGATTCCATGGAAATACTTCTAATGCAACGCTATAAACAACAAAGGCATCTGGACATCTGACGTCAAAAGTTGTTTAACGACGCACTCAGCAAAATTCCAGCCATTTTTCGGCCATCTGTAAATAATTGAGTCTGGACAAGACAAGCCGGTGATTGACAGCATGAGCATTGATCTTCGCAATTTGGATACGATGACATGCATCAACCAAGTCAGTGAGTCTGACCACCCGATCCCGGTTGTAACAAGTGCATTGTACATCCATGGATATAGGACTGACTGACTGAGTATGGTTTTACGCCGCTTTTAGCAATATTCCAGAAATAAAACGGCGGGGGACACCAGAAATGGGCTTGGGCTTCACACATTATACCCATGTCGGGAATCGAACACGGGTCTTCGGCGTGACGAGCAAACGCTTTAACCACTTGGCTACCCGACCGCCCCCATGGGTATAGGACCGGTATATCAGGTAGGGTATAAAGGCACGTGCAGCTACACGTGTTGGGGGGACAAGTCCAATAGATTATTACAGAGTGGACGGATTGTTAAACGAACGAAACGGAATAATGTCTGACAATGCGTTGGTTGAAAGGATTTAGATAGTGTGACACGTTAGAGAGACCACACCTCAAACTAACGCGTTCACAATCACGACCAGCAATCTGACATGGTGACCATGAATAAAGCTATATTTAACAAGGAAAAAACACACCTTATTTATAAACATGTACCTAAAGCCTTACCTTGACAAGCTTTTAAACATGTGGTTGTAGATTGCTCTTATCTGACATTAGGAAACTCGCAACATGGTAGACGACTTTTCTTTCCGACATTCAACGGGATAGGCAAAATCAAAACAAAGCAATTTCGGCCAGGAAGATTACATATATATTATATATATATATATTTCGGCCAGGAAGATTATGTATGTATGTATGTATTGTATGTATGTACGTACGTACGTATATATGTATGTATGTATATACAGTAAACTACGGTTATAACGAACACGCTTATAACGAACTGACGGATATAACGAACTTACTTTTTGGTCCCGACTACTTGCTGTAGTCATGCTGTATATGTACTTATAACGAACTACGGTTATAACGAACTAAAATTAGTAGTCCCTTTGAGTTCGTTATAACCGTAGTTTACTGTATATATACATTATTTATATAATATATATGATCTTATGTCGTTCCATGCACATCAAATAGCCAATTCCCTTTCACTGAGTTACTACCCACCCGCACAAGAAATAAAGGAGACCAGTGAGGCTCCGTCATCTGTTTCATGTGTAGATCTATGCATAAAGATTCACCGTGACAAAAAACTATCCACAAGACTTGGTGACGAGAGGGATAATTTTCCAATAGTCAACTTAACCTTTATGTCGAGCAATGTTACAGCAGCCTTTGGTGTCGCCATTTCACAACTTTTGACGTACAGGCTCTTTACACGAAGATTTCAAAGAGCGTCAGAAGACTCTCGATTAAAAGGTGTTTCATCAGGGTTACAACATTCAATGACTTAGTAAAGCTTTTAAAAAGTTGTATGGTAGACATGTGGTGGACATTACCAAATTTGACACATCAGTGACAAAAATTATGTCTGATACAATTCCCTATTTTGACTTGTACCGTATGTACCCGTGTTCTTTGGGTTACCAATTGCCTTGCCTTTGTATGTGTTTGTGAAGGCTGCTTGTACCGTATGTACCCGTGTTCTTTGGGTTACCAATTGCCTTGCCTTTGCATGTGTTTGTGAAGGCTGCCACCGATAGAGCAAGACACGCTTACCTTTTCGCGAGCACCTGAATGGTGCTTTATGCCGCATCGGCACATATCAGATAACTGTTACTTCGCACGAAGGAACTGTTTAGTTTGAGTTATTCGCAGGAAGGCGAATCGCGGTAGAAGTTTCTTTTTGTTTTGATGCAAACCATCAGATTGACCTCAATGTCCGATCAGTTTATCAAGACTACATGGTACTTTCAAAGATTCCAATGTCACCACGTCACAACAAACGTTTACGTCATCGACTGGTTATTATGACTTTGGTAGTAAAACAAACCCAAATACATATAAAAAACATTTCTCTTTGGAAGAGGTCACATGCATCTGATTTTTAAGACAGCGTTACCTTTTGCAAATGATACTCCACACGGCGATAAGCTTATCACAGTGTCAGACATTTAAATTTGCCCACATGAAATACAAAAGAAAACATTAGGTTATCGCGGCCTTTGGAAAACTTTGGCCCACGACCTACAACGATAGTACTAAATTTAGGAGCTGGCATTATGGTTGAAATCTTATGCTAACGCATCCTGTTCCAAATTTAATTAGCGTTAGAAAGACAGACATATGTTATGACAGTCTCACCTCGTAACATAATAAATGATAAACAACACATACAAAGTAAACTAAATTCAATTTACTGGTATACATAGTAACAAGGCACCCCTCACCGAGATGTGCAAGAGTGCATATACATTTATAAAAGTTACATGCATATGAAGTACACTGCCGGACAAAAGAAAGTAGACACATGTTTGGCGGTGGCTACGAATGAGACAAACAAGAAATGGTTATTCGATGGTGATGTATTTGATACGGGTATCACAGTTGTGTTTTAGGGGGCGGTCGGGTAGCTTAGTGGTTAAAGCGTTCGCTCGTCACGCCGAAGACCCGGGTCAACTCCCGAGGGTACATGGGTACAATGTGTGAAGCCCATTTCTGGTGTCCCCCGTCGTGATATTGCTGGGATATTGCTAAAAGCGGCGTAAAACCATACTCACTCAGTCAGTTGTGTTTTAGACCTTACGTTTGCAGTGTTTCTGTCTACTCTCGTTTTGATAACGTTTGGGTGTTTGGTCAAATCCAATTTTCAAGTGTATACTTTCGTTTGCCTGGCAGTCTTCTAGCACATTTGGGGCGGTCGGGTAGCCTAGTGGTTAAAGCGTTCGCTCGTCACGCCGAGACCCGCATATAATGCGTCTACCATGTTGGGCGTGCAAGCACACCTTGGTGACATACTGTGCATTATCTTGCGTATGGCTGCTATTGGTATTGCCCGCCATTCCGCCCCGACCTGAGCCACGTTGACGGGTCTCTGGCGTACACTCTCCTCCCGAAGAACTCCCACACATGCTCTATTGGGTGAGGTGAGGTGAAATGGGGTTTAACGTCGCGTCCAAGATTATTGCACTTATATAGCGACGTGCATGCACGTGTATGTGTGTGTGTGTGGCTGCTTGTACTAGTCCGGACTGATGCCGATTTACATTGCTAGCACACTGAAATACCATGCCGCAGTTTAACATGAATACCCCAATTAGACACATTATACTGACTCCGAGCCGACCAGGTTTTAGCCCCTTAATGCCGTGCGCTAGACAGGGTAACAACAAGTACCATCTTTTAACGTCTTTTGGTATGGCGCGGCTGGGGATCGAACCCCGGACCTTCCGCTGTCCGGGCGGACGCTCTACCATTAGACCACGGAGGCGGTCTGCTCTATTGGGGACATGTCAACGGACCTAGCGGGCAAGTCCAATGTATGTATGCCTTCTCGTCGGACATAATGGGTGACGACCTTGTCACGAAGAGGTCTGGCATCGTCATGTTGCAGTTCCAAATTTCTGCCGATAACTCTAGAGAAGGGACACAAAGTTTCGTCAACGCTGGCCAGTCAAATGTCCATTTGAACCAAATTAGTTCGCTTTCCATGTGTGATACCGCTCAACACCACGACAATACCGCCCCCATCACGATCATGCTCAAGAAATGTTGCCCTGTCATAGCACTCGCCGCTACGTCGCCAACAACGTTTTCTGCCATCTGTGAATCGGAGGCAAAACCTTGATTTGTCTGTTAACATGGCGTAACGCCAATGGCACACAGCCCGCCCCTGGTATTGCCTAGCCCACCCTAATCCTTGTCGCCTATGGTCAGCTGTTAAGGTATCATCCTTCACAGGACGCCCTGCCTTCAGGCGGTCTGCATAAGCCGCCTTTAACAGTAGATGTTGAAATTCACCTTCTCTATTGAGTTCTCTATTGATAACAGGAGCAGGTTTGAATCTATTGCGTAGTGCCATTAATGTGATAAGACGATCCTTTCTAGGTGCCGTTTTTCAGGCCTGCCACGCCCAGGTCCCCTTGCAACCCTTCCCGTTTGACGGTACTTGTCCCACAGTCGAGAAATTACACTTTTTCATTAAGCTTTCGGGCAATTGGGATATTGACGTGGAGGTTTTTTTCTTTCGTTACATGCATGTCCGCATGGTGGTTATATCCGACTGTTCAATATAGGGGGCACGGGTGGCCCAGTCGTCTAAGGCGCCGCGATTCGCTGTGCAGAGTTGCGTCCCTTGGGCACGCCAGAAACCTATGACTGTGGGTTCGAATCCCGGTTCGCCCCGATTATGTTTCTAGGTTTGTCAGCACCATACCCGTGCTCATGGGTTTCACCGAAGTGGTAAACGTCTTAGACCTGCATCACTTCGGGCTTTCCTCCCACATTAAGCTGACACGCCGTGATGTTACTGGAATAATGTTAAACCCAACTCACTGATCATTCACTGTTCGATATAACCGTATAATCATTATATACGAGTGTTCGTTATTGCCAACTGTTAATGTGAAGATTTGTTATGTCAGACAGTTTGATACAACCGACTGTTCGTTATAGGCGACCGTTCGTTTAAGCAACAGCACCGTCAACATAATGATTGTTTTCCCAATGTACTTCTCGCAGCTATCGTAGATTATCCTTCCAGTGACCCCGCCCAATCCCATCCCTGACACCGTGAGACCACGACAGCTGTCCGGATATATCAAAAGTTAGATAAACAATTGTTTGGCAGGCAACATTTGACTTCTTGGCCATATCCAGGTAGGTTGCAGTTCCACGTCCATCAATGAATTAAAATTCGGAATGAGTAGATTTTCATTTCCTCGATAGATAATATCAGTTGTAGCAGGAGCCAGGGGGACGTGGGATTTTAGGTGAGGTGAGGTGAAATTGGGTTTAACGTCGCGTCCAAGATTATTGCACTTATATAGCGACGTGCATGCCCGCGTGTGTGTGTGTGGCTGCTTGTACTAGTCCGGACTGATGCCGATTTATAGTGCTAGCCCACTGAGATACCATGCCGCAGTTTAACATGAATACCCCACTCAGACACAGTATACTGACTCCGAGCCGACCAGCCCCCTAATACCGAGCGCCAGACAGGGTAACAACAAGTACCATCTTTTAACGTCTTTTGGTATGACGCGGCTGGGGATCGAACCCCGGACCTTCCGCTCTCCGGGCGTACGCTCTACCACTAAACCACGGAGGCGGTCACGTAGGATTTTATTAGCCCCTCGTTAGTTTTTATACCACGACCCGAAAGAGAGACGCACAAAACCCCATGTACCACGAGTGATCCTGCTACAATGAATTTATCTTACCGACATGTTTCGATATGACATTGTAAAAGAATTAAAACAAATTCAAAATTAATAGAATACAGCTGTTCGAGGTTTACTTATGCTATGTCACGTGACTTTCATGGACTCGGAAAAAAGTGTTAATTGTTTGTACTTTTCAAGTTTATAATTTCTTTTGCTCCTCACTTCATATAGGGGCGGTCGGGTAGCCTAGTGGTTAAAGCGTTCGCTCGTCACGCCGAAGACCCGGGTTCGATTCCCGACATGGGTGCAATGTGTGAAGCCCATTTCTGGTGTCCCCCGCCGTGATATTGCTGGAATATTGCTAAAAGCGGCGTAAAACCATACTCACTCACTCACTCACTCACTCACTTCATATAACACTGAACCTCAATCACCATTGATGTTTGACAAAATGTTTTCCCTTCATCGCCTATGTGTTCAGAAAAATATGTTTCTTTGGCAGACATTTCTTTAGCATAGCGATTCGTTACTTGTACACTTGATGGCGTTTAAAACATTCCTAAAGTTCATGTAGTCTCTTGACTGAATTGTATACCGAACGCATCAATATATAAGAAATTGCCAATGACCTCGACCTTGATCTTCCAGCATCATGTTCTTGTTCGGCGTCCTTCTCCTCGCAGCGTCGGCCTACGGGTGAGTGACCTTGGCCTGTTTCTTATTGAGTGAATGAGTGAGTTGGGTTTAACGCCGATTTTAACAGTATTCCAGTCATATCACGGCGTGTCAGCTTAATGTGGGAGGAAAGCCCGAAGTGATGCAGGTCTCAGGCGTTTACAACTTCGGTGGAACCCACAAGCACGGGTATGGTGCTGACTAACCTAGAAACATAATCGGGGCGATGTTTCTTATTGAACGTACCATAGGAGGAGGATATATATTGAAACGATTAACAAACTATTCCATCAGGATGCCCTTCATCTTTCTTAAAAAGTCCTTCAACCTGACAGCACAACATTAGCTTACACTTAAAATATATAAGGCATGCCCAACCAAACATAGATGCATCACGAAGATGTTCAAGAAGAGAAACTGTTGTGTTTTGTATTTGGGGGTATGATATTGTAGATATGCTATCTACAAATATAATTTGAAACCTAATGTTCTTGTTATATCATGTATATTGCTACAATATACAAATTCTATTGAATTTTAGCTCCCTTATATCAGGAGGTATAATATTGTAGATTTGATACCTTGGAGAATAATATTCCAGAGGGGATTCCGGGTTGGAGTAGGTCTCCAGAAACCCATGCTTGTCGTAAGTGAAGACTAGATCGATCGGGTGGTCATACTGTGGTTACGGTGTGGTCATACTGAGGTAACGGTGTAGTCATACTGGGGTAACGATGTGGTCATACTGTAGTAACGATGGTAACGGCGTGGTCATACTGAGGTAACGGTGTAGTCATACTGGGGTAACAATGTGGTCATACTGTAGTAACGATGGTAACGGCGTGGTCATGCTGTGGTAACGATGTAGTCATACTGGGGTAACGATGTGGTCATACTGTAGTAACGATGGTAACGGCGTGGTCATGTTGTGGTAACGATGTAGTCATACTGGGGTAACGATGTGGTCATACTGTAGTAACGATGGTAACGGCGTGGTCATGCTGTGGTAACGATGTAGTCATACTGGGGTAACGATGTGGTCATACTGTAGTAACGATGGTAACGGCGTGGTCATGCTGTGGTAACGATGTAGTCATACTGTGTTGACGGTGTAGTCGTACAGTGGTTACAGTGTGGTCATACTGTGGTTACGGTGTAGTCATACTGTGGTAACGGTGTAATCATACTGTGGTAACAATGTGGTCATACTGTAGTAACGATGGTAACGGTGTGGTCATATTATGGTAATGATGGTAACGGTGTGGTCATACTCTGGTAACGATTTGGTCATACTTCTGAAACCATGATAACGGTGTGGTCATACTGTGGTAACGATTGTAATAATGTGGTCCTACTGTGGTAACGGAGTGGTCCTACTGTGGTAACGATGGTAGGGGTATGATCATACTGTGGTAACGATGGTAACGGCATGGTCAAACTCTTGTAACGATAGTAACGTTGTGGTCATACTGGGGTAACAATGTGGTCATACTGTAGTAACGATGGTAACGGTGTGGTCAAACTCTTGTAACGATGGTAACGGTGTGGTCATACTGGGGTAACAATGTGGTCATACTGTAGTAACGATGGTAACGGTGTGGTCATACTATAGTAACGATGGTTACGGCGTGGTCAGGCTGTGGTAACGATGTGGTCACACTGTAGTAACGATAGTAACGGCGTGGTCATACTATGGTAACGGCATGGTCATACTGTAGTAACGATAGTAACGGCGTGGTCATGCTTAAGTAACGATGGTAACGGCGTGGTCATACTGTGGTAACGATGGTAACGGTGTGGTCAAGGTATGACATCTTCCTCTTCCTGCGTCAACAGGCAGGGCACAATACAGCACTGCATCCACTCCAACGCTGAGAAGCTGACTGCAGACAACGTCATCGAAATGGTCATGGTCGACATGGACACCAACAAAGACCGCTACATCTCCGACCTGGAGCTGCTGATCGAGTTTGTCGGAAGGTTCGACACCAACGGTAATCATCAGATAGCGCAGTCACACTCCGGCGCAGTAGTGACTTAGCATTGCACTGAAGCCTCTTAGCGCTACGACCTCCTAAACCACCTCGTAAACCACCTCTAAAATATTTGTGCTGTTTCACAAAGACCCCCTAACTTTACACCCCATCGTAAGCAGCCTCCTAACGTACGATAGGTTGGGGACACTTGTAACTAGCTTACGACATCTTAAGTCAGGGATATCACTCAAGTGTTGGGTAGGAGAGTGATGGCGCAGTGGCCCCAATTGTAGTTGATTGAGGGTGTGTGGAGCTTATAGCTCACTGAGATAGTGTAGTGGTACAATTGTAGTTGATTGAGGGTGTGTGGAGCTTATAGATCACCGAGATAGTGTAGTGGCACAATTGTAGTTGATTGCAGGTGTGTGGAGCTTATAGATCACTCAGATAGTGTAGTGGCCCCAATTGTAGTTGATTGAGGATGTGTGGAGCTTATAGATCACTGAGATAGTGTAGTGGCACCAATTGTAGTTGATTGAGGGTGTGTGGAGCTTATAGCTCACTGAGATAGTGTAGTGGCACCAATTGTAGTTGTTTGAGGGTGTGTGGAGCTTATCGTTTACTGAGATAGTGTAGTGGCACCAATTGTAGTTGTTTAAGGGTGTGTGGAGCTTATAGATCACCGAGATAGTGTAGTGGCACAATTGTAGTTGATTGAGGGTGTGTGGAGCTTATAGCTCACTGAGATAGTGTAGTGGTACAATTGTAGTTGATTGAGGGTGTGTGGAGCTTATAGATCACCGAGATAGTGTAGTGGCACAATTGTAGTTGATTGCAGGTGTGTGGAGCTTATAGATCACTCAGATAGTGTAGTGGCCCCAATTGTAGTTGATTGAGGGTGTGTGGAGCTTATCGTTTACTGAGATAGTGTAGTGGCACCAATTGTAGTTGTTTGAAGGTGTGTGGAGCTTATAGATCACTGAGATAGTGTAGTGGCCCAAATTGTAGTTGATTGAAGGTGTGTGGAGCTTATAGATCACTGAGATAGTGTAGTGGCACCAATTGTAGTTGTTTGAGGGTGTGTGGAGCTTATCGTTTAATGAGATAGTGTAGTGGCACCAATTGTAGTTGTTTGAAGGTGTGTGGAGCTTATAGATCACTGAGATAGTGTAGTGGCACCAATTGTAGTTGTTTGAGGGTGTGTGGAGCTTATCGTTTACTGAGATAGTGTAGTGGCACCAATTGTAGTTGTTTGAAGGTGTGTGGAGCTTATAGATCACTGAGATAGTGTAGTGGCCCAAATTGTAGTTGATTGAAGGTGTGTGGAGCTTATAGATCACTGAGATAGTGTAGTGGCACAATTGTAATTGATTGAGGGCGTCATGGTAACGCTCTTCCTCCTACTGCTTTTAACCATGTTGATATTCTTCCTCCAAAACATGACAATCCATGGCAAAGCTCTTCCCAAAAACAGGTGACAGCATGATCACGCGCGAGGAGTTCCTCCCCAAGTGGCACGAATATTACAAGGACGTCCCTGAATTTGCCAGCTACCTCTTCGATCACTTCGACCGCACCAACGACGGTTTCCTGGGACTGTACGACGTGCCCGGTCTCAAGGCCCAGGTGGATCTGGACAGTAAGTCGCCGCTTGGTACACAGGAGTGAGTGAGTGAATGAGTGAATGAGTGAGTGAGTCAGTCAGTCAGTGAGTCAGTGAGTGAGTCAGTGAGTGAGTCAGTGAGTGAGTCAGTGAGCGAGCGAGTGGGTGGGTAGAAATCACGCCCCAGAAGTGATGCACCAGTACAGTCTGGTGCTGATAAACCTAGAAGCACTTTCCTAAATTCAGATGTAAGTTAACATTGCATTAACTTTGTATATAACACAGTATTATATTGCTCTTTACGGGTGCTGTTATAGGGGAAACATGTGACTTTTGCAAAACTGAAACGTTGACTTTATTAACATGAATTGGTTTGACCAACGTAGACTTCCGAGTTTACCAATAGCTGGCTAAAACCAGTTGCCAGGACAATGCCATCAACAAGAGATCCTGCCATGAGTTGGTTGTCTTATTCTGCATACGATGTACATAGTATTTTTACAAACGTCGTAGGTAGAATTAATACGTGTGGAGTATACACCTGAAAAGGAGTTAAGTGCCGCTTACTATATATTTCCATATAAACTACTGGGCACTAGAAAGTATACACTTGAAAATTGGAACATTCAACCAAAAACGTTGAACCAAAAAATTAAAAGCATCATCAAAACGTCCCGAGGTTGAAAACAGTCGCCGAAACACTGTAAACTTAAGGTGTGTGTGTGTGTGTGTGTGTGTGTGTGTGTGTGTGTGTGTGTGTGTGTGTGTGTGTGTGTGTGTGTGTGTGTGTGTGTGTGTGTGTGTGTGTGTGTGTGTGTGTGTGTGTGTGTGTGTGTGTGTTTATCAGTGACAAAAATTATGTCTGATACAATTCCCTATTTTGACTTGTATCGTATGTACCCGTGTTCTTTGGGTTACCAATTGCCTTGCCTTTGCATGTGTTTGTGAAGGCTGCTTGTACCGTATGTACCCGTGTTCTTTGGGTTACAATTGCCTTGCCTTTGCATGTGTTTGTGGAGGCTGCCACCGAAAGAGCAAGACACGCTTACGTGTGTGTGTGTGTGTGCTAGCCCACTGAGATGCTGACTCCGAGCCGACCAGTCGTTTTTTTAGCCGACAGACAGACAGGGTAACAACAAGTACCATCTTCCGCTCTCCGGGTGGGCGCTCTACCACCAGATCACGGAGGCGGTCCCGCAAACTTAATAGTACTAAAAGCGACGTAAAACCATACTCACTCACCCACTCGCTCTTGTATTAAATGTTTCTTTGGTGTGTTAAACATCTCCCATGTTTTTTTTTCAAAATAAGATCAATGACATATGTTTGTTTGTTTGTTGTTTAACGCCGCGGGGGCATTGGTGGCCCAGTCGTCTAAGGCGCCGCGATTTGCTTTGCAGAGATGCGTCCCTTGGGCACGCCAAAAACCTATGATTGTGGGTTCGAATCCCGGTTCGCCCCGATTATGTTTCTAGGTTTGTCAGCACCAAAACTGGCTCGTGGATTTCACCGAAGTGGTAAACTTCCGAGACCTGCATCACTTTGAGCTTTCCTACCACATTAAGCTGACACACCGTGATATAACTGGAATACTGTTAAAAGCGGTGTTAAACCAAACTCACTCACTCACAATTTACCGCCGCACTCAGCAATATTCCAGCTATTTTACGGCGGTCTGTAAATAATCGAGTCTGGACCTGACAATCCAGTGATAGCATGAGCATCGATCTACGCAATTAGGATACGATGGCATGCATCAACCAAGTCAGCGAGCCTGACCATCCGATCCCGTTGGTCGCCTCTTACGACAAGCATAGTCGTCTTTTTTGCAAGCATGGGTTGCTGAAGACCTATTCTGTGCCAGGATCTTCACGGGTCCAATGACAGATGTGGTCATATATTTTAAAACATTACTTTGAAGGGCGGGATACATGAAAATAGAGAACGGCTGGTGCTTAAAGCATCTTAAGGTACAGATATCTAACTATAATTTACACGAGGTGTCTCAAGACTCACACGTGTTTTCTGCCTTCAGCTGATGGCCGGGTATCTGAGGTGGAGTTCACCATCTTCATGACGCATGTGAGTCAACTCCACACAAAGCCTTCTTTTATTATTCAGCTGTGACACACTGGTGTCGATATATTTTACATGTGACGACTGGTTGCGTTTGTATAATCTGCATGTGACGCACTGGTGACGTCTGTATAATCTGCATGTGACGCACTGGTGACGTCTGTATAATCTGCTTGTGGCGCATTGTGGCGTCTGTATAATCTGCATATGACGCACTGGTGAGACTGTATAATCTGCATGTGACGCACTGGTGGCGTCTGTATAATCTGCATGTGACGCCCTGGTGGCGTCTGTAGAATCTGCATGTGACGCACTGGTGGCGTCTGAATAATTTGCATGTGACGCACTGGTGGCGTCTGAATAATCTGCATATGACGCACTGGTGGTGTCTGTATAATCTACATGTGACGCACTGGTGGCGTCTGAATAATCTGCATATGACGCACTGGTGGTGTCTGTATAATCTACATGTGACGCACTGGTGGCGTCTGAATAATCTGCATATGACGCACTGGTGGCGTCTGTATAAGCTACATGCGACGCACTGGTGGCGTCTCTTTAGTCTTTACTCTACACTGCCGTTGCATGTACATACTACGTGTGACGCACTGGTGGTGCATGTATATACTACGCATGACGCACTGGTGTCTGTTTACTCTACATTTGACGCACTGGTGGCGTCTGTATAATCTGCATGTGACGCACTGGTGGCGACTGTATAATCTACATGTGACGCACTGGTGGCGTCAGAATAATTTGTATATGACGCACTGGTGAGACTGTATAATCTGCATGTGACGCACTGGTGGCGTCTGTATAATTTGCATGTGACGCACTGGTGGCGTCTGAATAATCTGCATATGACGCACTGGTGGTGTCTGTATAATCTACATGTGACGCACTGGTGGCGTCTGAATAATCTGCATATGACGCACTGGTCTGTATAAGCTACATGCGACGCACTGGTGGCGTCTCTTTAGTCTTTACTCTACACTGGCGTTGCATGTACATACTACGTGTGACGCACTGGTGGTGCATGTATATACTACGCATGACGCACTGGTGTCTGTTTACTCTACATTTGACGCACTGGTGTCTGCATAATCTACATGAGATCCACTGGTGTTGTCTGCGTATTGCCACGTTGTTGTTCACTTCCGCGGGGGTCTTGTTTATACCTTGTTGTTGTTGTTGTTGTTTCAGCTGTACCAAGATTGTGTCCCTCACTCACACAAGGACCCAACTGCCTGATTCTGCTTCGGACAACATCAATGAAGAAAATAAATCATACTATTGTTAACGTGTATCTTACTCTTCCTAGTTATCCCTTAGTGGTAAACGTGTTCACTAGTTACGCGAAATGTCTGGGTTCAATTTCCAAATCAGTACAATGTGTGTTCCCCTACGAGATATTGCAAGAGTATTGCCAACAACAGCGAAACACCATGCTCACTCACTCACTCACTTAGTCTAACTCACTCCTCCCATGGTTGTCGTAAGGGGCGACTAACGGGGTCGGGTGGTGAGGCTCGCTGACTTGGTTGATGCATGTCATTGTATCCCAACTGCGTAGATCAATGCTCTTGATGTCAATCACTGGATTGTCTGGCAAAGACTCGATTATTTGCAGACCGCCATCATATAGCTGGAACATTGCTGAGTTCGACCCCAATGACACTGATCCCTGTTCATGAGATCAATCACTGGTTTGTCTGTTCCAAACTTGATTTATTAGCGGCGCAGAGTAAAAAACAAACAAAAGAGACTTCATGCTTCTCACCTTACACACTTGATTCACATCTTAGATTAATGTACAGCAATCTGCATATAAACAGGCCTTAGGTATTTAGAGGGAGTTGGGGGCGGTCGGGTAGCCTAGTGGTTAAAGCGTTCGCTCGTCACGCGTAAAACCCGGGTTCGATTCCCGACATGTGTACAATGTGTGAAGCCCATTTCTGGTGTCCCCCCGCCGTGATATTGCTGGAATATTGCTAAAAGCGGCGTAAAACCATACTCACTCACTCACTAGAGGGAGTTGATTGATGCATGTCATCGTATCCCAATTGCGTGTGTCGATGCTCATGATGTCAATCATTGGATGGTCTGGACCAGGCTCGATTATTTAGACCGCCGTCATGTAGCTTGAATATTGCTGAGTGCGGTGTTAAACAACAAACAAACAAACAATAGAGGGAGTTTTGTGTTTTTCCGCTTTGAGCAGTATTTCAGATACAGCATGTCTTTTTAATGCGATATGGCACGGGTGGCCCAGTCGTCTAAGAGTTGCGTCCCTTGGGCACGCCAGAAACCTATGTTTGTGGGTTCGAATCCCGGTTCGCCCGATTATGTTTCTAGGTTTGTCAGCACCATACCCGTGCTCGTGGGTTTCACCGAAGTGGTAAACGTCTGAGACCTGCATCACTTCAGGCTTTCCTCCCACATTAAGCTGACACGCCGTAATATAACTGGAATACTGTTAAAAGCGGCGTTAAACCCAACTCACTCACAATTTAACGCGTGAGGAAAACACGGAATGGGCGGGCGGGACGGGGATATTAAAGGTGGGCATGGAAAATGTGTATGCGGCTTCTTGAAAACAAATTTTGAGAACAACGGTCGAATGGATATAATTTCTGTGTTGCGATATAGAATTGGCTTCCACTGTAGTTCACATATAAAGTTGATTTTTGACAAAACACATGGCATGAAAACCTGCAACAATGGCAATCACACAGACGGCCTCTCTGTTATTTGTGTACTTCGGGGTTAGTGCAACCTTGGTCGTTAAAGCAGAAATATACTACCACTTTTTAAAACCTGACTACGACTTCGGTTATTTGTCCAGCGATAAGAGAGTTAAAGTGACTAATTGGTACCACAAAAAGCATGACTCCGAGCAAACACAGCCCATTCAAGCTTCCTTCCATTCACCCAGATGCCTGGTTCACTTGCAGTGAGACAATTTGCTAACATTTGCTGTGTTTACATATATTCGTACGTATATTTTGTCATTTCATACTTCATACAGATATAAACGAAACCCTTAGGGTAGTCAAAACTTACGGGGGCAGTTGCCACTATGAAAAATAAACACCAGTGCGCGCTTCGATCGACTATCTTATTTTCAGAAGATTCAAGACATTGGATATTTCAGTCCTAGAAATCTAAGTTTAATAAATGCTTATTATATACTCTCCGAAAAAGGAAAGGCATAGTTGATCTGATTTGTTGAAATGTCGTGTATTTTAATTATATTGATTTCCATACGATTGATTTTCACAAATGTTAGTGTTAGCTGTTTCGGGCGGGATTGAACCTAACTCTAAAATGCAACATTTGAAGTCTTTAAGAACGTTGGCGGCTATATATTGTTGCCCAAAATATCGCAAAATCCGGTGACAAACAGACCGTATGTGAAAAACGGGCGAATAGTGAGTGGTTTCGTCAGGTTTAAAACGGACGAATTCTTTCAATGATATGTCCAAGCACAGGACCATATAACTAATAACAATAAACAAACTCGCAGACGAGTTTTTGTGAGTTTGTTTATTATTATTATCAGTTACATGGTCCTGTGGTCCAAGACGTTTTGCTCTCTGGGTGCAGTTCAGTATGCCTAGGCTAAACATAACTTTTCCGACCGACCGACCGTCCCTCTGGGGAAACCCTGGAGGTGAGAAACAACCAAATGTAATTTTAAATACACACTTACACTAACTGCATGGCTTAAGATCGTCGTCATATCTCTGCACATAACTTGCCATTAAAAATAAATATATTGTGACGTCAAAGTTTTGATCTAATGTGATATGGCTTTATGCGAAACTGTTTTTGGGTAAATCGATATCTATCATATTCCCTGTGCCACAGTGATATTCTGAAAGATTGATTATATTTGCAACATGGCATCAGGCGTTTAGGATACTTCCGGTAGGTCTGTTTGTGTGAGATAAACTGTCGTCGCATGATCCCATAACAACATAAATAACAACAATGAATCAAGATAGAAGTAAAAACGAGCCTATATATAAACGTCATTGAAAGACTACCCCGCCCGCGGAAATGTGAAGGCGTCAAGCAGTACCGCGCAGTCAATGTAGTTAATGGTATAAGGGGGATAATCGTGTTATGATATGTAAATAATAAATAAGAGTAATGTCCCTTGTATGAGCTCCATACAGTGTGTTAACTCAACTCCCCACATGTTGTGGAATTTTCCGCGTTCTATAGGGAAAGTAGAGCTGATCAAAGCGATAGTCCTTTACATCCCTTACTGCAAGGTCGAATGGCGTCATAACTTAGTTCGGACAAGCGCAGACGACACAGAATATTTTCTCAACACAGTTACTTCCCTTTGATAAAGTACAATGCAGTGTCTGAAGTTTGCATGTAGACCCTGGAGGGAGCTTGTATATGAACCGTACGCAGTTTGAAATTACCATTTAAACTAGTTCCACTATTGGTACGCGCCGCAGGTTTAGCGCGTTCAGTCAGACAGGAGCACAGTCTAATTCCTAAGCTGGATAACTTCCCTCTGACCAAAATTTTACCGCATGGAATAAAATCGATTGAATTGCCTCCCTTTGACCTAGACCTAGATCAGGTCCATTAGTATAATTTATTAAATGAAAAAAACACATTGAGAAACTACCTTGATCTAAACCTGTCTAGAAAGTTTTTCCCTTGTTCGTGAATTTACAATATAGAACCCAGTTCCACTTTGCCCGAGACTTCATAGATCTGTTTGTTTTAAAATTAAGTGATCTGTGTTTTATGAGTTGAATTAGGTCAATGGTAAGAATGTTTTTTAATAACAACATGACTTTATAGTGATGGGTTTCTTTTTTATCTCCATGGGTTTTCTTATCAGATCATTTTCCACAATGACGGATTTCGGATTCAGCATGCTCTCAATACTCGACTAGACATATGTCTAAATATTCAAATATTTGGTACAGATTGTCAAAGTCTTGAATAGGTATTCTGCAATACGGAACCATTCTGCTTTGACCATCCAGAACACCAACTGAACATTTATGGGATGACCTTTATAAATGTGCCAAACATCAATCCCAGCTGAAACGTTTCTGCAACCTCGGATGAACGGGTCAGAATACTACAGGTTCGAATCAAGAGACTGACTCAATCCATGAACAGGTGATGCAGACCAGTGAGTGAGTGAGTGAGTGAATATGGTTTTGCGCCGCTTTTAGCATTATTCCAGCAATATCGCGGCGGGGGACACCAGAAATGGTCTTCACACATTGTACCCATGTCAGGAATCAAACCGGGCTTCAGCGTGACAGCAACACTTTAACCACCAGGCTACCTGACCGCCCCCAAGTGTTAATTAAACTTTCTATTTTCATACATATGCGTTTCTTTTGTGGTATATCTAATAGTTCTGGAATTTGCATTTGCGAGATGTAAAAAATGTTACTAAGTTTACTAGTTCAGCTGTGAATATAGCAAAAAAACATTTGATATATTAATACACATATTAACATTGCAGGAATGAATGCTATTCAAATGTGAAATGTGATCCACTTACGAAAGAATATTTTCCAATTTTTTGTTGTACAATTTCTAGTTTGTTTAAACAGGGAGATCAGGTTCATCTGTTTAATTTAATAAATAAAAAACATATTTAATAAACTACCTCGATCTAAACCTATGTATTAAGTTTTTCACTTGTTCATATATGTACAATATAGTATCTGGTTCCAGTTTGTGGGAGTCTGCCTGTCGGAGGATAGATATTTGTTTTTAAATCATATTTTTATAAGCGATTCTAGAACTGTTTCAATTTGTTTTGTTTTAAGCAGAATGTGTGACTTGAAAAGGTCACAAGTAAAAAATTCTTTTTTAATTACATATTGACTTTATGGTGATGGTTGCTTTTTATCTACACATGCTTTACTTTACTTTGCCCCAATGTGTTTATGTTTCTGTTTTGGGGTTCCACTTGCTCTACATTGTGATAGACATACGTATGTTTGAATGGTCAAATATACTTGGAGTAGATTGTGAAGGCTGTGAGTCTGTTGGTGTCACAGTGTAAGTTTTGACTATCTTGAATAGGATTTCTGAAGTAATATTTACCAGCCATTTCTTCATTTTTCTTGAAAACCCCATGAAGAGCCAGGATAGAATTGGTCTTCAGCAGACCATGGTTGTTGTAAGTGGCGACTAGGGGATTGGGTGATCAGTCTCGGTGACTTGGTTGATGCATGTCATTGTATCACAATTGCTCAGAATGTCAATCACTGGATTGTCTGGTCCAGACTCAATTATTTACAGACCTCCATCATGTAGATGGAGGACCGCCTCCGTGGTCTAGTTGTAGAGCGGCCGCCGGGAGAGCGGAAGGTCCGGGGTGTCGATCCCAAGCCGCGTCATACCAAAAGACGTTAAAAGATGGTACTTGTTGTTACCCTGTCTGGCGCTCGGCATTAAGGGGCTAAAACAAGGACTGGTCGGCTCGGAGTCAGTATACTGTGTCTGAGTGGGTCATTCATGTTAAACTGCGGCATGGTATCTCAGTGAGCTAGCACTATAAATCGGCATCAGTCCGGACTAGTACAAGCAGCCACACAAACACACACACGTACATGCACGTCGCTATATATTAGTGCAATAATCTTGGACGCGACGTTAAACCCAATTTCACCTCACCTCATGTAGATGGAATAGTGCCAAGTGCAGCATTAAACAACAAACATAAGGTCTTTTCGTATGACGTGGCCGGGGGTCGAACTACCAACCTTCCTCTCCCTGGGCAGAGAGTTATCCACTAGCGGTCTTTATTGTTGTTTATTGTTGTTTATTATGGTGTTCAACAACAATCTTCCAGAAGCAAGAGAATTAACTGACTGTAAAAGTCAGCTCGGCTGGATTTTTTTGGCTCGATTGTAGCGCCACCAGTGCCTATTATGAGTCATGTCCCTTCTATGCCCCTCTATTGACCAATCAGATTCCACCTCTCATATCACATGTATTTGCTTTAAAGCAAGTGGTGGTGCCCAGTGAAGACAAACTGATCGATAATCAAGATTTATACTGTAATAAAACAGGCCAAATCACGTGAGGACCTTGATTAAAAACATGAAAACATTTACAAAAGTTGACACGGAGTTGACAGTACACATGCTCTGCAAATCCTACTGTCAACCGAAATCTGCAAGGCAGTTTACGAACCAGATGTCGATTTCTTTAAACAATTTTGATTGGACTATGCATAGACTCGTTAGTCAAGCCAAAATATAACTCCATAATTCCAGCCTAGTTTGGCAAGGGTGGAAACTGGACCTTGCCTTGGAAAGAGGTCAACAACAAACAAACAAACTTCAATGAAGCTGTTAAGGGACTTTACTGTTCCTGATTGTAAAGTACTCACTAAAATATAAACACAGTGTGTATATGTGGAGTGAAACCAAACAAGCTGCAGTTCCAAATATTGGTCTGTAGTGTCTGTATCACCATGATCACAAGTTGCAGCCGAGCCCTGACTCCGGACCCAGCTCCCGGATCAGGGACTGGATCTCCTTGAAGTGAGGATGTTCCTTGTCGCCCACCAGCTGCAGCAGCACAGCCTCACTCGTCGTCACAATGGCGCCACTTTGTCGGAATCGCTAACAAAACAAACATGCAACCATGAATATTATTTCTTCCAATTTTATTATTGTATTGTCATAATCATATTGGTCGATACAGTGAGTGAGTGAGGTGGGTTTAACGCCACTTTTTACAGTATTCCATTTATATATCAGCATGTCAGTTTAATGTGGGAGGAAACCCAATTTAGGCAGGTTTCTGACATTTACCACTTCGGTGAAACCCACGAGCACGGGTATGGTGCTGACAAATCATAATCGGGGGGAACCAGGATTCCAACCCACAATCATAGGTTTCTGGCAAGCCAAAGGGACGCAACTCTGCACAGCGAAATGTGGTGCCATAGACGACTGGGCCACCTGAATGTCGTTGTACAAAACAACCTTTGCGCCACGACTGTCGTATGTCTATGTTAAGGTATGGGAGTTACCATCACCTTAGTGCTAAGATCGCTTCGTACAATGACGGCCCCCCGGTCAGTAAGGTGCAAAGGTGGGGTAATGGGACATAATCGATATTTCAAGACTGTTTGTTTGTTGTTTAACGCCGCAATCAGCAATATTCCACCTATATGCCGGTGGTCTGTACATCATCGAGTCTGGACCAGACAATCCAGTGATTGATATCATGAGCATCAATCCACACAATTGGGATACGATGACATGCATCAGCCAAGTCAGAGAGCCTGACCACCCACCCGTTAATCGCCTCTTACGACAAGCATAGTCACCTTTTACGGCAAGCAGGGGCTGCTGAAGACCTAGTCTACCCCAGATCTTCATGGGCCAATCATGAATAGAGGGTCATGACAATCCACAGTTCCGGTACATGTACAAAGTGTCATAGGCCACCAAGGGAGAGTTGAGTGTTTCCTACTCACCTCAAATGCAAAGAGTCGGTTCATCTGAGAACGAGAAGAACACGCATCAGCAACAACATGAACCTCATAGTCCTTCTTCAGAAGGTCGATCACTGTCTGCTGAATGCACACATGAGTCTGAAAGGACATTTAGAAATAATTCCACATCAGGTCTTTGAAAGGCATTTAGAAGTGATACACATAAGGAAGAGAATATATGGATGTCAACTTCTTTATTATGAGGAACACAACGTTTCAAAGTATATGCTTACTCCTTCATCGTTCACATCATTCAGTAAACATATACCGTATTCGACGTAATAAGCACCCCGCTCTAATAAGCGCCCACGGCGACATTTGCTAATATTTTGGCTCGAGAACAATCCCAATTAGCTCCCTTTCCGATTGATCAAGGTACACAAAACTTATTTATTCGCGTAAAATACGCACTCGTGTGTTATATGCACCCTTAATTATGGGCAATTAAATTCTGGAAAAATATATCTCTCGTATATAAACATTTCAGGCTGTCAGCATAAACGACGAAATTTATCTTTCAACTCACTTTTTTTCGACAAAATAATATTCCAATAAGAGCCCCCTATTTCTAATTTTGAGAGCGCCCTGGGAGCTTATTACGTCGAATACGGTACTTCGAAACGCTGTGTTCCTCATTATAAAGAAGTTGACATCCATATATTCTCTTCCTTAATTACACATCAGTTGGCAGATTCAGCAAGTTTCTGTCAAGGTGTTCAGACACTCGGTTGAACAGCGAAAGATGAGGTGAAATGAGGTTTAATGTTGCGTCCAAGATTATTGCACTTATATAGCGACAAACATACATGTGTGTGTGTGGCTGCTTGTACTAGTCTGGACTAATGCCAATTTTTTAGCGCTAGCCCACTGAGATACCTTGCTGCAGTTTAACATGAATACCCCACTCAGGCACAGACTTCGAGCCGAGCCGTCCTTGTTTAAGCCCCTCAATGCCGAGCGTCAGAAGGGTAACAACAAGTACCATCTTTTCACGGAGGATGCTCTACCATCAGACCACGGAGGCGGTCTGAACAGTAAGAGAGAAAAGGGGGGCTATACAAAGTATGTGATCTAGACTACCAGTTATCACACTTTCATTTTTGTGGAAGACTCAGTGTGGGTTAGATCGCTGATTTTGTGTGCTGGCGAGTAGGTGCCTCATTCTGGAGTGAGTGAGTGAATATTGCTTTACGCCGCTTTTAGCAATATTCCAGCTATATCACGGCAGGGGGACACCAGAATTGGGCTTCACACATTGAACCCATGTTGGCAATCGAACCCGGGTCTTCAGCATGACGAGCGAACGCTTTAACCACTAGGCTACCTGACCGCCCACCTCGTTCTGGAAGTGTGGGTTCGTATCCCTGGTGGGACTCAACCCCAAAAAGTTCTAAAGTTGTACTTGACTAATAATGTGTTATCCCAAATATAACATTTTTTAGTAAAAGATAACAGTTTCATGCACTTCATGATTACATTGTCTACATCGAGACTTTCACGTCCTTGATGTCACACACTGTTCCTACTTCAATTCCAAAGTGTGTGAGTGAGTTTGTTTTCTTGCTACTTTTAGCCATAGTCCAGCAATATCACCAGAATTGGGCTTCAAATATTGTACCCATGTGGGGTATCGAACCTTGGCCTGCCGAGGATGAGTGAACGCTGTAACCACTAGGCTACCAAACTGCTCCTCTCCACACAAAGAGGACCACATGTTTGATGTTTGAGACTGCACCTACCTCAATGCCAAAGAGGACGACATGTTTGACGTTTCAGACTGCATCTACCTCAACGCCAAAGAGGACGACATGTTAGACGTTTGAGACTGCACCTACCTCCATGCCAAAGAGGACCACATGTTTGATGTTTGAGACTGCACCTACCTCAATGCCAAAGAGGACGACATGTTTGACGTTTCAGACTGCATCTACCTCAACGCCAAAGAGGACGACATGTTAGACGTTTGAGACTGCACCTACCTCAATGCCAAAGTGGACCACATGTTTGACGTTTGAGACTGCGCCTACCTCCATGCCAAAGAGGACGACATGTTTGATGTTTGAGACTGCACCTACCTCAATGCCAAAGAGGACGACATGTTTGACGTTTCAGACTGCATCTACCTCAACGCCAAAGAGGACGACATGTTAGACGTTTGAGACTGCACCTACCTCAATGCCAAAGTGGACCACATGTTTGACGTTTCAGACTGCGCCTACCTCCATGCCAAAGAGGACGACATGTTTGATGTTTGAGACTGCACCTACCTCAATGCCAAAGAGGACGACATGTTTGACGTTTGAGACTGCATCTACCTCAACGCCAAAGAGGACGACATGTTAGACGTTTGAGACTGCACCTACCTCCATGCCAAAGAGGACCACATGTTTGATGTTTGAGACTGCACCTACCTCAATGCCAAAGAGGACGACATGTTTGACGTTTCAGACTGCATCTACCTCAACGCCAAAGAGGACGACATGTTAGACGTTTGAGACTGCACCTACCTCAATGCCAAAGTGGACCACATGTTTGACGTTTCAGACTGCGCCTACCTCCATGCCAAAGAGGACGACATGTTTGATGTTTGAGACTGCACCTACCTCAATGCCAAAGTGGACCACATGTTTGACGTTTCAGATTGCACCTACCTCAACGCCAAAGAGGATGACATGTTTGACGTTTGAGACTGCACCTACCTCAATGCCAAAGAGGACGACATGTTTGATGTTTGAGACTGCACCTACCCCAAAACCATAGAGGACAACATGTTTAAAATTTCAGACTGCACCTACCTCAATGCCAAAGAGGACGACATGTTTGATGTTTGAGACTGCACCTACCTCAACGCCAAAGAGGACAACATGTTTGACGTTTGAGACTGCCACTACCCCAAAGCCAAAGAGGACGACATGTTTGACGTTTGAGACTGCATCTACCTCAATGCCAAAGAGGACGACATGTTTGACGTTTGAGACTGCACCTACCTCCATACCAAAGAGGACATGTTTGACGTTTGAGACTGCACCTACCTCAATACCAAAGAGGACGACATGTTTGACGTTTGAGACTGCACCTACCTCAATGCCAAAGAGGACGACATGTTTGACGTTTGAGACTGCACCTACCTCAATGCCAAAGAGGACGACATGTTTGACATTTGAGACTGCACCTACCTCAATACCAAAGAGGACATGTTTGACGTTTGAGACTGCACCTACCTCAATACCAAAGAGGACGACATGTTTGACGTTTGAGACTGCACCTACCTCAATGCCAAAGAGGACGACATGTTTGACGTTTGAGATAGACTGTAGCTTCTCTTCCACCTCAGGCAGTAACATAGTGAACCTGGTTTTGGGGAAAACCCCAACAGCATGGGCGGCATCCAACTCTGATACTGTCGCACCCAGGCCCTTGGGGTACTGCACAGAGAGAGGCAATCACAATGCTGAGGGAGACACAAACAACATAAACTCAGACTGTACTACAATTCATTTTGGACTATTGTTTTTTAGACTACTTTTATGTAGCATATCTTAATTTCAATAGTGGATTTGTTTTGGACTTGCATATATCAAGTGATATCTTAATAATCATCATGTTGAAATACATGATTGTGACATATGCTATTCTTTGATGTTTACTTAAGAAATGACTTCACCATTTTGGGGTAATGGAGGTGTAAACATGAAAACCTGTGCTCACACTTTGTGAAACGTTCACACCAATTTTTACACAAATACCTTGATAAACATAAAAACATTAAATCAAATTTTATAAACACATAGGCAGCTCCAGAGAGGGGTTCTGGAACCCCACCTTTTGGAAACCAAATGTAGTTTGTTGTAGGCAGTGAAATTATCTGAGAAAGTATTTTCATATTTTGGACCCCTCCCTTTCAAAAATGCTGGTTCCACCCTTGAAAAAAATATGTAATCATTGATGACTTCACAGACTGCTTATTTAATCACGAACACAAAACCACTGAAGACAACAAAATGAAATCAACAACATTGATCAGGGCAATAATGCAACAAACCCCACCCATTCCATTATCAGCCAATCAGGTAACAGTATTCTGTTTGTGGTCGTAGCCTAAATGTTTGTCGGTTTATGGACACAGAAATAAAAAAGATTTGTTTGCTTAGCAAATCAAATGCCACGGAATCAGTTGCAATTTATTGATATAAGTTTATGTGTATACATTATTAACATTACGTATAAAGATGAATAGGTTGATTTCAATCACGTAACCAGTCCCCATAATGTTTGTTTGTTTGTTTGTTTGTTTGTTGTTTAACGCCACACTTAGCAATATTCCAGCTATATGACAGGGGTCTGTAAATAATTGAGTCTGGACCAGACAATCCAGTGATTGACATCATGAGCACCTAACCAATTGGGATTGTTGACAAGCATCAACCAAGTCAGCAAGCCTGACCACCCGATCCTGTTGATGTGAGTTTGGTTTAATGCCACTGTTAACAGTATTCTAGTTATATCACGGCGTGCCAGCTTAACGTGGGAGGAAAGCCCGAAGTGATGCATGGCTCAGATGTTTATCACTTTGGTGAAACCCACAACCATGGGTATGGTGCTGACAAACCTAGAAACATAATCAGGGCAAAGCTGGATTCAAACCACAATCATAGATGCCCAAGGAAGGCAACTCTGCACAGGTTATGGGCAACCCGTCACCCATTACGATGTACATTGGAGAACCTTGCAAATGTACTTACTACCACTAGTCTTATATGGAGACCTTAAGCATTGAGCATGTTCACATGTAGTCATGGACATAAGACCAGTGACAGTGTTCAAGACTATTTTGGGAAATATTTCATCATAACCATCAGACAACACTCAACAGGAAATTGCTTTCTGGGTAGGCCTATTGCGGAGCAGGATAGACCCCCAGTACCTCATGTTTGTTGGCCGAAGGGGATTCTGGTGGAAGTTTATACCCATACTGTCCTTTAATTATCTACTATTTTCACAAGCCATGGTTTACCTGTTCCGTCACAATTAGTGGAATGTTGAGAATCTTTGATGCCTTCACCTGTGAAAGACAAAATGAAACTATAGAATTTAGTAATAATACATTATTTACAACATCTGAAAAAAATCGTTACAAAACGTTTAGGCATCGTGGATATATGTAAATCTTTCTACTATCATTATAATTGAAAATATATAACGCATAAAACGTCAGGATATACTCGCAATACAGTAACACATTCCTTCAACTGTTTAACAGTGTTGGTGTTTAACGCACCAATCTTTGTGCGATCTGCAGTATATCGGCAAAATGTTTGATCGCTGGACGGAACTTTTCTTGCATGTCACAGCAGAAGAAAACTGTCTGGTCCAGCCGGAGATCTCCAAGTCTCTTTTCGCTCATCCTGTAAATCTATCGCTATGTGAGTTCAGCACACAGTTCATCAACGTTGATGCAGCCGTTTGGACTTCGTCATGTGCGTGAAACTTACATAGGGAGAAATCATTGTTACGAAATGTAGTTTAGTTAATAATAGTCGCAAGAACAACATAGTATCCGATATCATCTCAGTTACGTATATTATATTTCAACAAATAGTTCCAATGTTCGTCATTGTCATACACACATCTTATATTAACATACGAGTGCATTTAATATACAACATAATGGTTAATCCCATGCTACTCTTCTGTAAAAGAGGATGCATAGTTGGTCGACCGTAAACTTCCGGGTTGCATCCTTGCGTGCATTGTTTGTTTACAATCGGGTTGCTATGTCGGCCCTTTTATGAATCTTCATTAAAATGGCTGAAAATAAAGTAGTTTCGGATGCTGATGTAGAAGAAACGAAAGAAAAGAGAAGCGCCATTGGTATCTTTGATAATCGAGACGAGTGCACCTACACAAGATGCTACTGGTGAGTTTCACCTGTTGCCTGGGAGTGGGTCTGTTGTTCAGCTGTGTCGGATGCGTTTGTCAAGTTATTTGCCGAGATGCGTTATTCATCTTTATTACAACAAAAGAGATAGAATTGGGACAGTGGACACGTCCATGTTTACGATGCACACTGATTGCACCCAAACAATAAAAGAACCCCAACTCGTCCTTAAATGTAACACGGGTTTACCAAAGAGGCTAGGCTACCCCAAATAGTAAAGATGGAAACTTATGAAATGTTACACCCTGACCTTTTCCCGTGGGATAAGATTAAAGGCTTTGCTCAATTGAGCGTGAGATAAGTTGTGGAGGATCAATAAGCGAGACAAAAGTCAACTGCCCTTTGTTAATTAAATAACACTTATCCTTTGAGTTCACACTGTTTGGGCATACAAGCAAATAAGATCTTTGGAGTGTGGACAGCAGAAAGTGATCATGCCTGCCAACTTTAGTCAAAATTCACATCAATAACCTTGTATGGCTGTAGTTTAAACACATGTCCTAACAATCGTTTTGTGGCAATTACCTATTATACAGTGTAATAAATATATATACATTTTAATGGTATTGGTTGGATGTCATGATACTTATTATCATAATCTGAATCAAATTGAGTAAAGTAATTCATAACCATAGCCTAATTGCAGCAAGATATTCAGCAGATCACGGCTGTGAGAAAGAATATTTATTTTGATTATAGTGAGGTGACTGGTATACTACTTCTACTGACCACAAAACTGTTCCATCTTAATTCTACCCCTTGTGCATGTTGAGTTTACTGAGTGCAGGGCTAATTAACTAAATTATTCATGCTGCCATGATTCACCGCCTTACTAAAGTCATTATGACTTGTTTTGACCCTGAAGGGCATTTCATGACCGTTTTCACTTATTACCTTGCAACTGGTGCAGAATCTGTACTGATTATGGCATAGGTCAATGATTGATAATACAGGAAGGAAAGTAACTTTTTTTCCTTATTTATTTCATTCAGCTGACAATGTTTGTTTGTTTTTTAAATTTGATTTTTATTTAATTTCTATAAAGAACAAATTTCCTTTTCTTTCTCAAAAGTTCAAGCTAAACAAAATTATGTTTCCTTGATGAAGGGAATTAAACTCAGTGCACATGGGAAGAGGTAGGTAAACATAAACAGATATTTTGCGAATATGTTGTAAAATACGATTTGCAAACGCTTCTAGAGTAATGATCATTATGGGGTTCCCACTATGTTAAAAAAAATGACTGAAATTGTGTGCTGTTACCATGGCAATGGCTACTGTAAGATGTAATTAGAGGGTATCTGCATTTCATCATGTGACTGTCTTTGTATTTGTGAAATTCCATTGTTAGTGTACTCAGTGTATGGCAAATAAATACTTCATGTGGATTTCATTGTTCCCGAATGCTATCCCGCACAATACATCACATCTATGGAACATCTCAATTTAAGGGGGGGCACGGGTGGCCCAGTCGTCTAAGGCGCCGCGATTTGCTGTGCAGAGTTGTGGCCCCTTGGGCACGCCAGAAACCTATGATTGTGGGTTCGAATCCCGGTTCGCCCCGATTATGTTTCTAGGTTTGTAAGCACCATACCCATGCTTGTGGGTTTCACCGAAGTGGTAAACGTCTGAGACCTGCATCACTTCGGGCTTTCCTCCCACATTAAGCTGACACGCCGTGATATAACTGTAATACTGTTAAAAGCGGCGTTAAACCCAACTCACTCACTCACTCTTTGTAATGCATCTGTGTTTGGTTCTGCAGCGAGGAAAACATCTGGAAACTCTGTGCATCTGTGAGAGACAATCATCCAGATGAACTCTCTAAATGCTTCGCTGTATTTATTTCAAACAAAAATAAACAGGTAAGTACTGAGGTTTTTACACAAAAGTGTTTGTTTTTATGAATAGTGTATGTGATATCGGGGGTAGAATAGGTCTTCAGCAACCCATGCTTGCTGTAAAAGGTGACTATGCTTGTCGTAAGAGTCAACTAACGGGATCAGGTTGTCAGGCTTCCTGACTTGGTTGATGCATGTCATCGTATCCCAATTGCATGGATCAATGCTCATGATATCAATCACTGGATTATCTGGTCCAGGTTTGATTATTTACAGACTGCTGTCAAATAGCTGGAATATTGCTGAGTGCCGTGTTAAACAAAAAACATACAATAAACAAAAGCATATTCACCGGAGCTAGTTATCACATTGATAACACTATCCAGACCTGTAAACTCTTGATATTAACATGAGCGTGAATTAAATGCGAAAAATGTGAGTGGTCTTTGCTTGCATTATTAAACATTGCATTTATATCAACAATAAGACATTTTGAATAGCAGAAATACCAACTTAGACATACGCTGAAAACAAACAACTATGTATTCCACATCACTGTTTATTGAGCAGCACTTGTTACAAGTATATAAACAATGTCATTCAAACACTAATTACATCCTGTGTACATCCTGTGTACATCCTGTGAATTGTCACTGCTGGGGTCAAGACAAGCGTTCTACTCACTCATGTCATCACTGATCACACCTGCATTTCCAGACAGACGCTACCCAACACGGTGTCTTTGGATTAGTGTAAGGTTGGATTAAGGTGAGGATTCTCCTGTAAACCTGACAGAGGACATTTTGTTTAGATATAAATCCACTGATGCTTGAGAGGAGGGGGTGTCGCATTTTTGGCTAGGGTCCAGCGGTCGCATTCTTTTGGAGACGCATTAATTTCACGTTTTACAGTATATGATGATACAAAATATTTAATGGTCCCCCGGTGTTTTGTGTGAGCAGATTCCACTGTGGATGCAGGCAAGCAGCAAGAGAGACGACAGACTCGTCATCTGGGTAAGCATCAACCTGATTGTCATCTGGGGTCTGTTAGCTTCTTAAGGCCGAAGTTTTCATTTCTTTTCATATTTTTTTTATATCCTGGTCAGTTAGGGAGGAAAAAAATTATATAAATATATCAGATGTTTTCTTTTCTTCCAAATCATGAAAAATTGCCTGCACAATATTTTGTCATGTGTGCTGTGTGAACTTTTCACTTCTTTGAACAGGTAGATGATATACGCTTCTTAACTCATTGGAAATATGTTTGGGAGTATTTTAGACGAAAATCGCATCAACATGACACTGTATACAATATGTGTGTTGTATATTAGCCTTACTACATGGCAGGATTACCACGTGATATTCCTACACAAGGGAGACGACTCCACCCTTGTGTATGACCTTGACACCGAGCTGCCCTTCCCATGTGACTTTGTGGAGTATGCCATGAAGGGCCTGCGAGATGACCGACGGATGAAGGAGGATTTCAGAAGGTCAGTAGGATCATGTTTCCATGGTTACTATTGACCATATCAAACTTCTCTGCCAGTCCGAGCTATGGCTGCTGGATTGAGAGTTCAGCAAGTTGGAGTCATGTGGTGACCCAGGTCACATGTGGTGACCCAGGTCGCATGTGTGGTCAAAGTGTTTGCTCTACATGACCAAGGACTGGGTTTGATTCCCAACATCAGAGCAATGTGTGAAGCCTTGTGCTCCCTGTTTGGAATTTGCTGAAAATGGCATATAGTCATATTCGCAGTCTGAATATGTGTCATGTTTAGTTACCATCGTTACACTGCATTTGTGTCCCCTTGTCAGGAACTTGTCAACTCATTTACATGTAAGCCTGTGCACACATTAATACATTCAGCCCAAACACTTGTTCACCCAAACACCTGTATGCTCACAATAACCTGTACATAAACAGTGGGACGCACAAACCTCTGTACACACATAAAAAACCTGTACACTCACAAACACCTGTACACACACAAACACCTGTACACACACAAACACCTGTACACACACAAACACCTGTACACACACAAACACACAAACACCTGTACACACACAAACACCTGTACACACACAAACACTTGTACACACACAAACACCTGTACACACACAAACACTTGTACACACACAAACACCTGTACACACATAAACACCTGTACACACACAAACACCTGTACACACACAAACACCTGTACACACAAACACCTGTACACACAAACACCTGTACACATATAAACACCTGTACACACATAAACACCTGTACACACACAAACACCTGTACACACAAACACCTGTACACACACAAACACCTGTACACACATAAACACCTGTACACACACAAACACCTGTACACACACACACAAACACCTGTACACACACACAAACACCTGTACACACACAAACAACTGTACACACAAACACCTGTACACACATAAACACCTGTACACACACACACACCTGTACACACACACAAACACCTGTACACACACACAAACACCTGTACACACATAAACACCTGTACACGCATAAACACCTGTACACTCACAAACACCTTTACACACACAAACACCTGTACACACACAAACACTTGTACACACAAACACCTGTACACACACAAACACTTGTACACACAAACATCTTTACACACAAACACCTGTACACACACAAACACTTGTACACACAAACACCTGTACACACACAAACACCTTTACACACAAACACTTGTACACACAAACACTTGTACACACAAACACCTGTACACACACAAACACTTGTACACACACAAACACTTGTACACACAAACACCTGTACACACACAAACACCTGTACACACAAACACTTGTACACAGAAACACCTGTACACACACACAGACACCTGTACACACAAACACTTGTACACACAAACACCTGTACACACACACAGACACCTGTACACACACAAACACCTGTACACACAAACACCTGTACACACAAACACCTGTACACACATAAACACCTGTACACACACAAACACCTGTACACACACAAACACCTGTACACACACAAACACCTATACACACAAACACCTGTACACACATAAACACCTGTACACACATAAACACCTGTACACACACAAACACCTGTACACACACAAACACCTGTACACACATAAACACCTATACACACACAAACACCTGTACACACATAAACACCTGTACACACACAAATACCTGTACACACACAAACACCTGTACACACATAAACACCTATACACACACAAACACTTGTACACATAAACACCTGTATACACAAATACCTGTACTTTGACTGCATTGTCTGGCTCAGGAGTTTCCGGGTGACCCATGCAGATGAGTTCCTCCAGACGTTTGCCTCGGACCGGTCTCACATGTTGTCGGAGGAGGGAGAATGGCTCATGCCACCACCAGTGTATCCCTGCATAGCTACTACAGGTAAACTATACCTGTCGCAGGTCACGAATTTACTCGATTTGAATTGGAACATTGGTAGACCCAAAAAGACAGTAATGCAAAAGATAAATAAATTTCCAGTTCAAAGCATTTTTTAATAACACAGGCTTGATAATGAGGCTGATGAATACAAATCTTAAAGGCTCAATGACCAAAAGTTGTTTTCTCCAATACAATACTGCTGCACTTTGTGGGGATTCGGGGTTAGAATAGGTCCCCTGCAACCTATGCTGGTCTCCCTGTGGGGATTCTGGGTTAGAATACATCCCCAGCAACCTATGCTGGTCTCCCTGTGGGGATTCCGGGTTAGAATAGGTCCCGCGCAACCTATGCTGGTCTCCTCGATGGATTCTGGGTTAGAATAGGTCCCCAGCAAACGATGCTGATCTCCCCGTGGGGATTCTGGGTTAGAATAGATCTCCATCAACCTATGCTGGTCGTAAGAGGCGATCAAATGGATTGGGTGGTCAGACGTGGTGACTTTTTATAGTGTGTCCTCGTGAGTAGGGTGTTGCAAGTTTTTTTAACAGGACATAGCTGTTTTTTCTGTGTAAGCCGTGTTCCTTGTGAGACTTGTCTCATAACATGACCAGGGGCGGTCGGGTAGCCTAATGGTTAAAGCGTTCGCTCGTCACGCCGAAGATCCGGGTTCGACCCTGGAATTTCTGGGCTCAATCGTTTCACCACCAGTGGCTATTATGAGTTATGTCCGTTCTATGCCCCTCCTATTGACCAATCAGATTCCACCTCTCGTATCACTTGCACTACCTTTAAACAAAATGGCGGCGCCCAGTCAAGACGATCTGATCAATGATCACGATCTGAATTGTAATTGAACGGGTCTTACCATCTGCAGTGCATGAGATCACTTGAGCATCTTTATCAAAAACATGAAAAGTTTGGAAAATATCTGTCGACATTCAGTTGACGGTACACACTCTTTGCAAATTCTGCAGTCGACCAAAATCTGCATGTTGGAATCCATGTTGTTTATGAACCAGATGTCGATTTTGTTGCGCGATTTTGATTGGACCATGCATGGACTCGTTATTCCAGCCAAAATGTAAGTCCATAATTCCAGCCTTGTTCGGCAAGACTTTTACAGTCGGTTAACTCTCTTGCCTCACGAAGATGGAGACCTGCATGACTTTCCCCTACATCAACCCGACACGCAGCATTGTAATTGAAGTCCTGTTAAAAGTGGCGTTAACCAAAACTCACTCACTCAATAGATGGCTTTTCTGTTTCAGCTTCCAAAAATAATATCCAGTTTTTCATCTCCATGGATCCAGACGAGGGGTTCGGCACCGTCATGGACAGCGTCACCTTCATCAAAACGTTCTCCAACCCCGCTGCAGCGGCGGACACCTAACACTGCATCCCTGGAAGGAGCTCTTGCGTGGACATTGCTCAATCTTTCAGTGTTGTAGTTTTATTACTGAGACAAGAGGCTGTTAGAGCAGGTCACTGTGCTTGTGTCACTTTGATCTCTGTGCCCACAAGGCCGTGTGATCTGTCGTCCAGGGATGTCGTCTGTCCATAAGGCATCTGTAAGCTTTTAATGTTTTAAACTTATTCTCAGTAGCAGCATTGTTTTTTGAGCTGAAATTTGGTGTTGAAATTCTTAACCCAAAAGTGGCAGTTTTTTTTTCAAGGAATAAACATTTAATAATTAGTTTTATACATAAGGGGGAGAGTTCTGATCAAAATGTCCAGAAATCTGACATGGTAATATTCCATAAGATTCCATCAGTTTCTGATTTTTGTACGGAGCCATGATTATTCCTCAAATATTGCAACAGATAGACTAAAGAGAAGAACAACCTCATTTAACCTTTGCGATGGCATCACAACAGTATTGTGAACTATTTCAGTTCATGGGATTCACAATAGTTCTAAGTCACATATGAGTCTCAATGAAATGAACCAGAAAACAATATCTTTATAATGAAGTACTTATGTACATCCTTGTTGGATTGTCGAGTATAGTTTGAGAAAGGTGAGCTATTGAACCCTTGGCTCTGTTTTTCATAGATGAGTCTAGAATTGTAGCAATATAATGTATTGGTTCTTAGAAATAGAGGACATGTTTGAACTGTGATATCAGAAACGTCCATCTGCTGTCCACCTCAGTGCTCCTTCAAGAAAATTATCTTCCTTCCCATCCTCGACTATCCAGGGTTTTTATCTCCATTCTGGTACGATTAGTACCCTGAACCTTTTCATCACCATAGCTTTTTCGGGGAAATGAAATATGTTTGACAAATCTGCTTTTAAATATAACATTAATTTATTTATATATGATGCTTGTATGTATTTAAACTTCTTGTCATCACTATATGGCTGAAATAATGCTGATGCGACATTACATTTTAACTCACTGACTTTTGAAATATAATACCACCATCGCCATCTCTCATGACAGTAATTTCCTCTTGCATATATCAGTCTAACTTGATTGGTTAGTTTGTTGTTTATGCCGCACTCAGCAATATTCCAGCTATATGATGGCAGTCTGTAAATAATCGAGTCTGGACCAGACAATCCAGTGACCGATATCATAAGCATTGATCCACTCATTTGGGATCGATGACATGCATCAACCAAGTCAGCAAGTCTGATCACCCGATCCCGTTTGTCAATTCTTACGACAAGCATACTAATTTGATTAGACAGCTCTTGTTAACATTGCTCCTGCAACATTTAAGGCAAATTAATGGATCAGATGGACAAGCTTGGTTTATTGTCTGTCATAGAACCCCGATGTCTCAATCGTTGCTCACAATATCGATCACTGGATTGTCTGGTCCAGACTTGAATATTTACAGGCCGACGTCATATTCGGTAGCTGGAATATTGCTGAGTGTGACATTAAACAACAAACAAACATCAAATCGGTGTGTAAACAAAGCTGTGTGGGTCAAGGGTATTTTCCATGTAAGAATGGAGATAAAACGTCCTGGATTATAGAGGATGTCCTTCCTATCATGTCATTATATGAAGATCTAGCAATGATTTCATCTAACAAGTGTAATTTTAGTGTTTCGATGTTAACACAGACCAGTGTTTGTTGCCCAGTCAATCACATGAGATGCCAAAACTATCAGGACGATTAGTGATATGTTCAGAGCATTGCAGTGTCCTGTGTTTAACAAATAGGTTCTGTTCTAGGATATATTTTGTTCTGAATGCTTTTTATACACGTATGAAACATCACATAGACAAAAATATATTGTAGTTTTGCTGTGTTTTTTTACACACTAATACTACGTTCAATGTGATGCTTAGCCAAATTCTTTTGTCGAAGCTGATTCCATGTATAACACACCACAAGTTTTGTTCCTTGAGACACAGGATTTTCCAAAATGAATGAAAAAAATTTGAGATACGTTTACATCTTTTACACTTGAGTTGAATGTGGTGCTAGTTACCCTGTATGACATCACAATGGTTGAGTATGGTGCTTATTACTCTGTATGACATCACAAGGGTTGAGTGTGATGCTAGTTACCCAGTATGACATCACAATGGTTGAGTGTGGTGCTAGTTACCCTGTATGACATCACAATGGTTGAGTGTGGTGTTAGTTACCTTGTATGACATCACACTGGTTGAGTGTGGTGCTTTTTACTCTGTATGACATCACAAGGGTTGAGTGTGGTGCTAGTTACCCTGTATGACATCACACTGGTTGAGTGTGGTGCTTATTACTCTGTATGACATCACAAGGGTTGAGTGTGATGCTAGTTACCCAGTATGACATCACAATGGTTGAGTGTGGTGCTAGTTACCCTGTATGACATCACAATGGTTGAGTGTGGTGCTAGTTACCTTGTATGACATCACAATGGTTGAGTGTGGTGCTAGTTACCCTTTATGACATCACAATGGTTGAGTGTGGTGCTAGTTACCCTGTATGACATCACAATAGTTGAGTGTGATGCTAGTTACCCTGTATGACATCACATTGGTTGGGTGTGGTACATTCTAGTTACCCTGTATGACATCACACTGGTTGAGTGTGGTGCTAGTTACCCTGTATGACATCACAATAGTTGAGTGTGATGCTAGTTACCCTGTATGACATCACAATGGTTAAGTGTGGTGCTAGTTACCCTGTATAACATCACAATGGTTGAGTGTGGTGCTAGTTACCCTGTATGACATCACACTTGTTGAGTGTGATGCTGGTTACCCTGTATGACATTACAATGGTTGAGTGTGGTGCTAGTTACCCTGTATGACATCACAATGGTTGAGTGTGATGCTAGTTACCCTGTATGACATCACAATGGTTGAGTGTGGCGCTAGTTACCCTGTATGACATCACAATGGTTGAGTGTGATGCTAGTTACCCTGTATTACATCACAATGGTTGAGTGTTGTGCTAGTTACCCTGTATGACATCACAATGGTTGAGTGTGGTGCTAGTTACCCTGTATGACATCACAATGGTTGGGTGTGGTACATTCTAGTTACCCTGTATGACATCACACTGGTTGAGTGTGGTGCTAGTTACCCTGTATGGCATCACAATGGTTGAGTGTGATGCTAGTTACCCTGTATGACATCACAATGGTTGAGTGTGGTGCTAGTTACCCTGTATGATATCACAATGGTTGAGTGTGGTGCTAGTTACCCTGTATGAGATCACAATGGTTGAGTGTGGTGCTTGTTACCCTGTTTGACATCACACTGGTTGAGTGTGGTGCTAGTTACCCTGTATGACATCACAATGGTTGAGTGTGGTGCGAGTTACCCTGTATGACATCACAATGGTTGAGTGTGATGCTAGTTTCCCTGTATGACATCACAATGGTTGAGTGTGGTGCTAGTTACCCTGTATGACATCACAATGTTTGAGTGTGGCACTTATTACCCTGTATGACATCACAATGGTTGAGTGTGGTGCTAGTGACCCTAATTGTTGGACGTGATGCTGACCCATGAAGATCAGGATTAGAATTGCTCTTCAGCAACCCATGCTTGTCATAAGAGGCGACTAACGGGATTGGGTGGTCAGGCTCGCTGACTTGGTTGATGCATGTCATCGTATCCCAATTGCCAAGATGGATGAGCATGGTGTCAGTCACTGGATTGTCTGGTCCAGATTTGATTATTTACAGGCCTCCCTCATATAGCTGGAATAGTGCTGAGGGCGGCGTTAAACAACAAACAAACACAAAATTAATGTGATGACTGGTATCCTGTAAGATGGTTGAGTGTAGTCCACATGAGCAATTGTATATTGAAGTACTTATATATTGAATATTCTGCCTCATTAGTATTCAATCATCATGACCAATAAGGGTGTTATCATCTCTTGATGTTCTCATTCTGGATGGAGGATGCCCACATCCAATCAACTTATACTGGTCTGATAGCAGCTCTGGCCAAAGACTGGATGGAAAAGAGAGAATGGTACAAGATTTTATCTGATTTGTGTACCTGAAACAGAACTTTTCAATGAATATCCGACAATTTAGGGTTTGACTGACAACTTACTTGTATGCTATGTTGTAGGGGCTGTGAGTAGCAATGTGAGAATGTGTTTCACTCGTTTTATTGATCTCATATAATATCAGTTTGTTATTCCTGTGCCATTTTGTTATTCTCGTGCCATTTTGTTATTCTCGGTCCATTTTGTTAATACAGTGCCATTTTGTTAAACCTGCGCCATTTTGTAAATCCTGCACCATTTTGTTATTCCGACACCGTGTGATAATAATGGGGATAATGTGTCATTTTGGTGATACTGTGCAACTTTGGTATTCCTGCTCAGTAGTACATGACTGTATTATTGCAAAACCCATGCCATATAATTTCACAATTAAAATGATACTGTTTTTTCAGGAAGATTTTATTGGGATATAAGTTGTCAGCAGACAATTAAAGTCGCATATATTGCATCCACAGACTGAAACCTTGCCCTTTGTGATGTGTGAACACTTATGAGTAAACCTCTATGGTAGCAAGCTCCTGTTTTGTTCAGATCTAAGATGTTTTATGTAAAATACTCATGGGTTTTAATTCAAGTGCATGATATTCACATTTTATGTATAATTTTTGTGTGATACACATTTATGTGCTACCAAGGTAATGAGATTTAGTTTCAAGGGTTTCAATCGTGTTTGGTTTATAAACACGAGTTGATTGCATGGGGATTCATCACTATCATATATCTCATTGGTTGAAATCACAATATTTTTGGAGAAATTAAAGAATTTATTTTACAATGGCTTTTATCTTAGTATCTCGACAGCTGAATCATTAATTGATGAAGATGACACACTCACAGGTACTGATCGGTTGGAAATGATTGTCAACCCTGTTGTCCGTGTGTTGTTGTGGTCAGTTATCAGCACCTTCAGAAAACTACACACAAAAAACTGACATTTACATACATCCACTGGACGTCAATGTCTACTTTTATATTTTGATTTGTGTATAATACTGCGCTGTATCCATTAAATAATAGAGTCTGGACTAGACAATCCAGTGATTGAAATTGTGAGCAATGATTCATGCCATCGCAATCAACCAAGTAACAGTCCTGATGTGCACCAACTCTGCTTCTTTAAAGACTACTCTTGTTTCGTAACGTTTTTTCATTGTTTGCCCAGACGGATCATTCAAAACTCAAGTTTTGAAGTGAACTAGTAGGTTTTTATGCTGCTTCAATCTGTGATCTCGGAATATCGAGAAACTAGCTTAACACATGTATCCAGGTAGGGAATCAAACCTTGATCTCGTGTGACGAGCAAGCAATTTAACCACTAGGCTACCCTGCTGCCAGGTTAAAATCCTTCTGTTCAAAGCTATGGACATGATATTTTAGAAGATGTTTCACAGTACGAAGATTGTTTTTGTTTTTTCGTTTTTCGTAAATAAATCCGTATGTCCCAATAATATTACCGTAAATGTGTTTGGTAAATATTGAGTGAAGCACTCATAAAATATTACAAATATTATAAATCCGTGTAGTATAAGGCTGCCCAAAACGACTCGTCTTTTTCGAACTCGCCGATTCAAATTATTAGTTTTAGAGTTTCGGTGTCACGTCCCAAAAAAATATTTTAAATACATTTTTCCAGGTGAGTGAGTGGGGTTTGAACGGTAATTCTGTAATTGCTTGAAAGTATCCTGTATGAGGAAAGACCAAAGTGATGCAGGTCTCAGGCGTTTACCACTTTGATGAAACCCACGAGCACGGGTCTGATGCCGACACCCTAGAAACAATCTAAATAAGATAATCTTGGATTCGAACCCACGACCATACGTTTCTGATACGCCTATGGGATGCAATCCCGTCGAAAGACTATCCCAAACACGTGGTGTGATGTCTCTTTTGGGGACCGCCATACCTTTTTCAAGTGTGGATGAGTATGGTTTTACGCCGAGACTACTCCGCCGCCTCCAATACTGTTTAAATGGACCCTTGCTAAAATCATAATGTAGTTAAATAATAATTACGATTGTATGTATGACTGTACTAAAATGACATATATGACTTTGAGTTCACGTTAATAATAATTACGATTGT